ATATTTATTCTGAATATAATCTATCCATCTTCTCCAAACCAAAATGTATCTTTCTTGTGAATAATCCTTCAAATAAGCAGAAATCTTAGCCATTTCTGCTAAATTTGACACTTTAAGCATCCAGTCTTCTATAGTAGGCAAACAATCCTTCTTCCAATATTGCCCTACCAACAGCCTTGCTGCTGTTATTAAATTCAACATCAAATTAGTTTCTTTAACATCAAAATCTATAATAATACCCAACAAAAATAATTGAGGAGTAAACTTTATCTTTCTTTTAAAAATATTCTGGATAATCCACCAAATTTTAATCCAAAAAGCTTTTACATTTCTACAAGTCCACCAAATATGAAAATAAGTTGCTTCCAAACTACCACATCTCCAACATTTGGGCTGCAAGTTAGGATACATACAAGACAACTTTTGGGGATCCAAATGCCACCTATAAAACATTTTATAAAAATTTTCTCTCAAATTTTGAGCTTGAGTAAATTTTACGTTTCTAACCCAAATTGCCTCCCATGTATCCAATAGAATCGGCTCTTGAATATTTTGTGCCCATTTTACCATACAATCTTTAACTAATTCCATTTCAGAATCCAATTCTATTAAGACATTATAAATTCTCTTTATATGAGCTAGAGTTTGATCTTTAATCTGTTTTATCAAATTCGCATCCTCTAAAGTAATGCCAACCTTTTGATCTAAACTCCACCTAACTAACGATTATATTGAAACCAAGAGTATACAATATTTTCTTGCTTCAACTCAGCTAAAGATTTTAATTGCCAATCCTTCCCTACCAAATCAAGTAATTCCCTATAAGAAATCCTATCCAAATTCACTCTTCTAGTTACCCCCTCTATCACGTGTCTGGGAATCCCCCAAATTGGAATTTTATAATTTAACCTATAATAATACTTCTTCCAGACATGTAATAAAGCATTTCTTAAAATGTGAGATTTAAAAGCCTGATCTACTTTTTTATTATAAATTAGATATGCGTGCCATCCATATAATAAATCCCATCCTTCAAGAGAAAGAATATTTTTGTTTGTTAAGTTGAGCCAATCACTAATCAATGTTAAAGCCGCCGCATCATAATACAATTTTAGATTAGGCACCTTGAGTCCTCCTCTTTCCCGTACAAGGATTTCTTTGTTGTTGAGATTGTTTCTCTTGTGCTTTTAAATATTTGGGAGCTGCCTTGTGAGTACCCAGGAGAGGAGTTGGGAACTGAAGCTTCTGCTTCCTCCTGCCGTTCTGTGTCCCGTGTTAATCTGGGACAACCCCCTCTCTGTGACACCTCCTTTTGCAGGCGAAGGGAAATGGCGGAACGAGAGAGGCGGGAGCGCGAGCGGATCCGACTGCTGCGGGAGCGTGAAGAGCGGGAGCGGCTGCAGAGAGAACGGGAGCGGCTGGAAATCGAACGGCAGAAGTTGGAACGGGAGAGGATGGAGCGGGAGCGCCTGGAACGGGAACGCATTCGGATCGAGCAGGTGTGCTTGGGGCTCCCCATCCGTTTTGCTTCTCTGGGGGCTCCTCTCATTGCAGAGGGGTGCATGCAACAATTCAAACTCAAAATTGCCTGCAGAGTGTTTGAATGGCAAGACAAAATGGCTGTTCTGTCGCTCCAATTTTATTGGAAGTGTGCCAATCCTGTTTGGAACAAAACAAAGCTTTTGAAGAAAAAATGTGGAGCCACATGTCCAGGTGTCAACTAATTAACCTTTTGCTCTTGGTGCAGATCAACCCCCAGCAATAGTATTACCCGCCTTAGTATGGCTGCTGCGAAGGACTTCTTTTGTGTTTTTAATATCTCCAGTGATAGCAATGCTAGTCTGACTGCCATATGTTGGATAAAGTGTTGGCATTACCAGGCACTATCTGAGGCATCTCTCCCACGCCCAAATTCAGCACGGACCGTGTCACTTGGGAAGCTGCAGAGCTCTGAGGCCTTTGTGCAGAGCCAGGGCTCCTTTTCAACAAGGGTTTCTCTTCTGGTTAGGAGCGCCGTAAGGAGGCCGAACGGATTGCTCGCGAGAGAGAAGAACTGCGCCGTCAGCAGCAGCAGCTTCGCTACGAGCAAGAAAAAAGAAACGCCCTGAAGCGGCCTCATGATGTGGATCACAGGTGAGTGGGTGGGTGCCTGCCTTTCTGAGCAAGTCTGGACTACGCCGGCACCAGCAGGCTGTTCGGGGTGTCCCAGGTGTGTCGGGGTGTCATTCATGTGACTTTTCAAGCCCCGCGTGTTTGGGTAGCTGTTTGGGTTTGAATGGGCTCTGGCCAAGAGCTGAGATATTTCTTACCTTTTAGAAGAGACGAGTCCTACTGGAATGAGAGCAAGAAGATGACTTTGGACACCGATGCCCGCTTCAGCCACGGGTCTGAATACAGCCGGCAGCAGAACCGGTTTACTGACTTTGATCACCGGGATCGGGGGCGATATCCCGAGGGCTCAGGAGTGCAGCCCTCGTCTTTTGACAGGTGGGTGCAAAGAAAGCTCTGGGGGTTCGGAAGCAAAATGGCCATTAGCAGAAGAGGGCAGAGAACTTTGTAGCTGCACGGGCGAAGGAACTTCAGAAAAATAGGATATTAAAACCCAGATAACTAGAGAACAAACTTCTTAAGAATAGCTAGAATTATTATGGCAAAGGCTTGGTGAACATCTTTCTTGCCACCAGATTATATATCACTTTGAGATTCTTTAAATAAGAATGTCTTTAATTATAATTTTAATTAAAGTTGGCATCCCTGTGCCTGACTGCAAGACTCCCCCTTTCTGGTGCTGCTACGCAAGGTTGAGTTCTAGGCGGGCAAACACGTATGTTTCATACCGGATGTTGAACTGAGGAGGACTCTTTAATCTGAAAATGCATTTTGCTTTTCTGATCAGGCGCGAACGATTTGTCAATCAAAGTGATGGCAAAAAGACTCGTCCAACGGGAAGAAGGGAGGACCCAGGATTTGAGAGATACCCCAAAAACTTTAATTCAAGAAGAAACGAACCCCCCCAGCCTCGCAGTGAACTCCGAGATGGTGAGAGAAGAGAAGTGAGAGGAGACCATGACGAAAGGAGGACGGTGATAGTTCAGGAGAGGCCCGAAATCCCTCACAGCCGGCACCCACGGGAACCAGGGCCCAACTCCTCCCGGCAAAGCTCTTGGAAGGGCGAAGGAGGCATGAACCCCAACAAGCGGGATGCCAGGTGAGAGATGGCCGGCAGGAGCCTCTGCCCTCCTCAAAAGTTGGGGATCCTGGAAGAGGTCACTCCCATTGCAAAGGCTACATGCGACTCTGAAGCAGGAGCAAGCGCTGGGTTGAGGAGGACTTTGGTGGGGATATTCAGGCCCAGCCACATCCCACATCTTGCGGCCAAGGGCCTCCATGGAGCAAGGAGTGGTTCAGCCCTCGTGAAGGCAGCTCAGAGCACCGGGTTGACTCTTCTTGTTTCCCCAGAGAAAGGACGGAAAGATCCGGCCGAGAGGTCTCTGGGCATGCAGTGAGAGGGGCCCCCGCAGGCAGCCGCAGCGGCACGTCCGGTTATGGAGGCCGAGAGACGGAGCGGGCCATGATGGAGCGGGGCAGTGGTGGACAGGTGAGCCCTCACCGGCCGGGCCTTGGAATGGGCTGGCAGCAAGCAGGGCCTCGGCTGTACTCCTTTTTCACGGAGGCCGCTTCAGCGGGGATCTGGAAGCCCTTCCCTAGATTTAGACGGGCTTTCTAGCCCTCCGAGTGATAGCTGCAACTGTAGGAAATGGTGTAAACTCCTCCATACAGTTAACACTTCCCAAGAATTGCACTTGGGTAACTATTTCCTGAAGCCAATCTGAGTGTCAGCAGAAGCATATTCGTTTCTCCCATGTCTCTAGCAGGGAAGGTCCAACTGAGCACCTCCATTTTGCACTCATAAACCAGCCCTTTTTACACACACACACACACACACACACACTGGGGCTTCAGATCTCAAGTGGGGATGCTGAGGGCGGCAGGAGCAAATGGCCGCAGGATTTTTTCTTGGATTGTCACCAGTATGCCTCAGTTGACCATTGTGCAATAGAACCATTTCTGTTCTCCCTGGACCAACTCCCTTCCATGCTTTTTGATGGATTAGAACTTGTCCCCCTGCTGGAAAAGGCATGAAGTTGTTATGGTCTTAGATTAACCTTCCTTTCCTTTCTTTTCCTTCCCAGCATTATAATGAAGACCGCCATGTGGTTGAGCGGCACAGCCGTGATGCTGGGCCAAGGAAAGAGTGGCATGGCCCCAATTCGCAGGGCAGCAGTTATCACCATGACACAAGGAGGATGGGAGACAGCCGAGCTGGAGGTGGCATGATGCCTTCTCACTCCAGGTACCCTCCCCCCCAACTGCACTTGAAATCTTGTAGCATTTGGCCCTGGGCTGGTGGTCCACAGTGACTAAATCTAAATGACACTGAATGGATTAAGCCAGAGGAAGCCGGCAGTCTCAGCCCTTGGAAGGCTTCTCCTATGGCATGAGTAACCCATTACGGGATCCTTGCCCCCCCCCGCCCCCCCCCCCCGACCTCCCAGTGGAGAGGCCTTCCCTTGCCTGAAGCCTAGGCACTGTCGAGCACACTTTCTTTTCTGCCGTTCCTCCCAATGGGGGGGGGCAGCCTCTTGTCACTCCCCCTTTTTGGCATCCCTGCTGGCAGCCTTTGAAAAGGCAGCATAACCCAGCTGTTAGACCACCTTCTTCACTCTCAGAAAAGCAAAGTTTTCCATTCTTCAAAAACTCATAGCTGTTTCTCTTTAAAATTTATTCCAGCAATTCTTCACCCATTAACAGAGTCGTCCAAATTGCTGGCAGTTCCCTGCAGAGGGGAAGTGGTTCTGGATTTAAGCAATTTAAGAGTGGACCTCCACGGAGATTTTGAGTCCTTGCACCTGCTCGTTCCTTGGTCTCAAGATAACTTATTGAAAATCTCTTGTGAACAGAAAGCTTTGGATAAGAAAACTTGTCTTTTTAATTTTTTGTTTTAACATGGCTACTTTTTCCTCACTTGGAGGCATTTTAAATAAGTTAGGCTGTTGGGTTTGGGGTAGTTCATGATTCTTTTGAAGAGTGCTGTTCCGTCTAACTCTAGGAGCTCCCAAATTAATGGGAAGCAAATACATGCAGACTGTACAGAGAACATGTTCTCGCCAGGTAGTTTTAATTTACCGGCATTAGCTCTGTGAACGTCAGTCTTGAAAATCAGGTACTTAGCACAAAATATATGGGAACCTAAAGCTGTACATCAACCCCCCTGCTTTTCGGTGTGTAGAAAATAAGGATGGTGGTTTTAATTTCTGGGTATTATGTAACTATTTTTGCAGAACTTGTTACACTGAGTGGACCCAAACCAATGTATCTCCTTTCCAAATAAACTTCATAATCTGTATAGTACCTGCCTGGATAGATTAATGTGTTCAGTCCTGTTCTCTCATCTTCACACACTTGAGTAAAATATGGTTAGCGTTGTTTCCCTGTATTGGTTTAACTATGCTTCAAAAATTTAATACTTTCTGGAAAATAATGTAGCTAAAGGTATAAAAGCACACTTTCAAAACCAGTACCGTTGCCCCACAAAGCGTGATTGCCTATTTACTCCCAGAGATTTGCTGCATATTAATTGCTGTGGGGTAGGAAAGTTCACCATTGATATTCTTCCTTTCCCGTCTGGTTCCACTCGGCCAGTTCGGTTCACCTATTTCTTGCCCAAGTATGGCAGTGAACTGCTTTTCTTAGTGACCGGAGGGGGCAATCTTTAGCACTCCTGTGCAGAAAAGTGAGTTTCTAGCATTAAGCGCCTCCTGAACCCCCTGGAGCTAAACAAAAATTGCTTGGGTTGCATTGTTCTTTCTTTGGCACACTTGCCTGGAGATGGCCTGACTTGTTGGAAACTAGGATGAAGGTGGTCTGGTTCATTTAGGGGCCAGTCAGCCTCAATCTGGAGGGAGGGTCGGCCAAAGCAATCGCCTTTAACGGGATGCCCGGCCCACCACAAGACTAGGCAGATTAGCTTTGGTTTCTCTGCTCAAATATGACATAAATGCTAGAACCTGACTAAATTTTTATTACATGAGAAAGTCACTTAACTCTGTTAAAAATTATATATAAAAATTAGACAATGAGACTAGCGACAGGTATCGGCTCAAGACATCGAAGACTATTGACAGTATTCATCAGAAAACAGCTATTCGCTGATCACAGTGTAAATTCATGCAAAGTGTCTGATTTGCTAAAAGGAAGCTGGTGACTAATAGTCCGTAAATATGGAGGACTGAAGGAAACACTGCCTGAAGCTTGAATGTATCACATCTAACCGTGGCAGGGGCAGAAGGCTGCGGCTGCCACCACCAAGCCAGACGAAGGCTCTGCAGTGGGCAATGGAAGGGAGCAGCTCCCCAACCGAGTTGACCAAATGGCCACTTCCTCCCTTCTCCTTCCTCTCCATTAGCCCGGGCCTCCCATGGGGCTTGTGCTCTTCAGGATTGTAGAATGGAGGCAAAATGACTGCTGTGGGAAAGAGCCAAACCAGCAAGTCATTCTAATTACGCAAGGAAGCTCCTATCACAATTGCCATGATCTGGTGTTTTTCAGCAGTATCTTACAAAATTATAAAAGTATTTGGCAGTGTTCAAGGGTTGTGCTGATGAACTTGGCTCTGCATGCCTTCCCCCAGCACAGCCCCTCGTCTGGTTTCCCTCCCGGATCGCCCCTGGTGCATCTGGTTCCCCTCAGTGGCAGGAGTGCTGGGCTCAGCTAAAAACCTAGGCGTCATAAGGCAGGCAGGGCAGCATCACGTGGAGGCAAAGCAAAGCGAAACAACAAAGTTTCTGCAGAGATAAAAAGGCTTGACAGTAACTTTGGGGAGAGGTAGCCAATGGGAAGTCCGCTAGTAAGGCCTCAGGGACTGCCCTCCAGCTGCAGAAGCCACTCAACAAGTGGGCGGGGGGGGGCAGAGGGCAACATCCTTTGAGAATGAAGGCCCCCTGCTGCCACCAGCACCGGCCCAGCTACCACGTCCCAACAGAGGCTGCCAAGCCACCACAAGGACGGCTGCGCTGACAAGACACGGAATTGAACTAAACTGCTGCTTGGCAGGAAAGATGCCCTTTCCCTGCACCCTTCTCTACTCAAGAGCCATTCACCAGACGCAATGCTTCCCCAACATGCCAACGACCAGCCCCTGAGGAAGACAACGACCCCTGGCACAATTTTGGCAAGATCATTTCCCTTGGCACAGGCATGTGAGGAATTGTTTGGCTCCCTCAGGACATCACTTCTGGCAGGTGACTGAAGCAAGCTGCCAATTGGTCCTGTGTTTGCGAGATTTCTGTATGTCATAACCGTCAAACACAGCACGCAAGAAACAAAACAAGAAATGTACACTTCATGTAAACTGTAAGGCTGATTCCTTTTTAGGATAAACTTCAGCCTAACTTCAGGCTCTCAAAGCTATTGGAACAGGGTGGCACCCAAAACAGATAGGGTAATGCACACATCTCAAATAAGATTGGAAATGTGTAAGAGACACACTTGCGTATCACTCCAACATGATACAAGGTATATTCAGTTTTGCGTAAAACCATTACACATGTCAGCAACTGGCCAGGGCATTTCATATTTAAAAATGCATACACAGCAAATGCAAACCCCAAACCTCATTTGTGGAAATAATGTTGCTAAAATTAAATATTTATTCTTTTCCCCGTTCTTTGTCCTCTGTCCGTATTGCTTAAGAGCTATACGGCAAGAGTTAGAGACAGGTCACTGCCCTGCGAGTCTAGACTCCATCCAAAAGACTGTTCATTTCAGGAAAAAATATTAAGCTACAGGTCTTCAATGACCTTTCAATCATCTCCTTCCCTGTAGTTAGATTACCACATTCTGCATGAATGTTGACTTGGGACTGAAATCTGCATATCGACAGCTAAGTCTGTCCTTAAATCCAGTCTTTAGAAGTGCAGCAAAAATTGTCTAAAGCATTTGCAAAGTGCTATAAAGTTATTGAGAAGATGAAGGTTGCTACCCTTCCTTCCTTGCAAAAGTCAACAGGTAATTCCAGCTGGGAGGCTCTCTCTCCTGTGACACGTAACCTGTGGATTTATATTAGGTCTTACGAAACTGGATTCCATCCCCACTCCCAGCGGTAACTGCGCAGAGACATGTTTTCTCCAAAGAGAGAACAACCACATCTTAAGGAACAAAAAAGGGCCACTGGTGTCCAGAGGATTCATTTGTTAGGATCTGTGACCTGAAACGATCTATTTCACCCAATCCAAACAACGGACCCAAAGTTCACGTGATGTGGCAGATGACCGGCCACAGGTTCACGTTGCTCACACTCAATGCCAGTCTCAAGCAAATTTAAGCATCCGCTTCTTCCATTCTCCTCCCCCTCCCTATAGAGAGTTGATTAAAAACTGGAGAGATCAGACTGGCGAGCCTCGTCTGCAGGGGATCTCGCCTTCTCTTGCTTCAAGGCGTTCTGAAGCCTGATTCTTGGCCAGGTCAGTCAAGGAAGCTCAGCTGAACATTGCTGAGAGGCTCAGCCCACCAGTCCAGGGACACCCCGTGCCAGAGCTTTGTCTGCAGTGCACATCGCCTCTTCCCGTGATGATCCAGAGGTGCCCCAGAGGCAGATGGTGAGCTGCTGCTTCGCCACCACAGGGGCACGCTCCCCACCTTCCCACCATGCTCCATCCCACAGCATGCCACTCCCTGTCCAGATCCCTCAGCAAGGCTGCACTGGCAGGGATCTTGAGGAGGCCCTCAGTTGTGGGCTTCACAGGCACAGAAGGTGGGTGGGCGCCCACTCACAGGATCCCTGGTGTTTCAGGCAGATGCGTTGGGCTCTCAAGGTGCCCTTCCGCTATAAAATAGCACAGCTGCTCTTCTCCCGTTCCCTTTCCTTCTCCCGCGGTTCTTTCCTCTTCAGCTCACTGGCCCCGGGCTGCCTTCCCACTGAGGGAGGGGTGGCGTCCTGTGCTTGCTGTTCAAGAGGGAAATACAAAGAGAAAAAGGCTGCTTGCTTGCACCCTTAGCTGAGCGTTTCCATAAAGCTAAAGATCCCAAGATGCAGACCAAGGGCCACCAAGGGCAACGTTGCCTTATGCTGGACCTGCTAATAACTGGCGTCTGGGGGCTGGAGGGGCAGCGAAGCCTGCAAATGTGCCAAATCCTACAGATGGTGCAACTTAGGCCCCAGGCAGCTTGGGGACAGGAGGCATCTTTAGCATAGACATTTGAGAGTGGAAAATTACACTTTCTCTCATGATTTCTCAAAAACTATCATGAAGGAAAACGCATTTTCCCATGAGGAACACGATTACCAATGTGGTGTCAGAACATGCCAAAACCAGGACAGAAAATGAATCCGAAGACCATGCAGAAACCCAGCTTGACCCTCTTTCTCAGACTTCTGCTGGCAGGAGCACCAAGGACTTCCTCAAGCGGCTCCCAGTGAGCATCCCAGGGAATCCCAGGCACCCTTTTCTGCCCTTGAGTGCCCAGAGCCACTGGGAGAGGTGCCAGGAACCAAACCTGCCATTTTCCGCATGGACAGTGGCCTCTGAGCCATGGCCATTCTCCAACAGCCCCTGGAACTACAGCTGCCAGTAGACTTTTACCTGGCCTTCAGCGGTGGTGGCAGCTGGGTCTTGCTCCTGGCAGTACTGTGAGGCCCGTCGATCTTCTTCCTCCTGAAGCTTCCTGGCCAGCTGGAGGTCACCGACGTCCTCCGGGAGCTGCTCCCAACTGAGGTCTTGGCTTCGTTGCTCTTCTTGCAGAGATAAGGCCATCCAGTAGTCCTAAGGCGCAAAGCCGCCAGCAGTGAACGTGCTGGTTAGTTTGGCCCGACCCAAACAGAGCGCGCCCTCCCCCATCCTGGCAGGCGCCTTCCATTCAAACTGAAGCACAACTCAGCAGTGAGCACCACGAGGCTTGGCCCCGGGTACAGGCCCCAAATGCCGGATGGGAGAGGAGGAATCCTAGCAGCTTTCGCCCTGTCCCACCACTCCAGGGACAGGAGGCCTCCGCGAGAGGTTTCCTGCAAGGGGAAGGGGCTCCTTTCAGGGGGACACACCAGAAGGAACTCAGGTGGTCCAAGTGGGATAAGATGGCCAACGAAGTGGGTGGGAAGAGAGAGAAAATGGCCCCTGAAGAATAAAAAAGTCAAAAGAATGAAGAAGCTTCCCACGGCTACCTGGTCAATCTGATCCTGTTGCCCGTGGTACAGAGTTTCCGGATCAGATGGAGGCCGCAGGTGGAATTCAGAATCACAGAAGTTCCCATCCCCATCCACATTATGCAGACTTTCCCACACCACTTTATCTTCGGTGAGGAAACCTTGGTCGGTCACCAGAAGGTAAAGCTGGCCCTGAATGAAAGGGAAAATTTCCCTGTTAACTGAGAACAGTCACTGTTTGCACTGAGATAAGCAACGCTGGCCTGCATTCTCTAGAGGAATGAAATTCTGCTTCCTTCCTGCTTCCTAGGCACAGTGGCTCAGTGAGCACACTCAGAAAGAACACGTAGGAAACATCTCAGAGAAGAGACTGGTCTTGGGAGATGCTCCTCAACACGTTTACTGCGGCTTTTGGCCATTCTGCAGGCAGCAAGCTTGTGGAAATGGGGACAAGAGGGGGGGAGGAGGAGGAGGGGGGAGGGAGAGAGTGCAACTGGAAAAACAAAGCAGAGAGAGAGAAAAGCAAAAGCAAAGAGCAAAGGAAGCCTGGAGAGGGGTATAGGGAGGATGGGGCATGCAAACCCCCCCCCATCCCCTGCATTCAGAGGCTGGGCTTTTTGCACCTCTGCCTCAGTGGCCCCTTAGGCTGCCATGCCAGGCAGATACAGCCGGCCTGCAGATCAGAAGCAATAGAGGGCTACTTGCTGGTGAGGCAGAAGCGTGAGCAGCAACTCAGGTGCAGAAGGTCAGTCAGAGTCCCAGACGAAAACAGCCATGCCATTTGTGGCCAGCTACCTTGTGTTTGGTCATGGTGCTGAAGTGGTTGTTTCTGAAGAACACACACAGCTCTCCTTCTTGAACGGTGGATGTCAACTCACACAAGCCATGGTAAGTTAACTGAGTGGCTGTGCTACTGAGGAACTGCTCTGCTATGGAGCCTGCAAAGAGACACCACTGCATTTGAATGCACATGGGCTTGCCCCAAGATCCCCACCCCAAGGAGCTGTTTCCAGTTCAACCTCCTAGACCAGCCAGTCACTTTGCTCTGCTCCAAATTTGATCCAAAGTAAGCCTGAAGACTAGGGCAAAATGAGAGCTGGAGTAGGGTAGTAGGGAAAACACAATGAGCAGAAACCGAAGAGAAAAAGCACACAGCAGTAAGACAAGTGGAGAACCAACACTAAACTCATCAACACACGCAGGTTGACCAAAGGGTAGCACCCCCTTCCGTGAAAAACTGATGGACACCCCAAAATCAAACTCAGGAATCAGAAAGTCTATCGGTCAAGCTTTACTTGAGAAAACCCAGATCAACCCTAGGAAAAGGCCTTCCTGCCTGGCTTTGTGGAGAGAGATGTGTTCTCTTAGGAGAACCCTTCTTTCTTCTAAAAGAGCATGGGAGAACCTGTTCCAGCCAGAACGCCGTTCCATCTCCAGTAAGGGAAACATCCTCCCCTTTTCTAAGTCGCAGCAGCAGCAGCAGCAGCTAATGAGAATTCTTCAAAGGAAGCAGAGGCTCTGGGAAAAAAATCAGCCCAGAACTCTGAGCTTTTTCTGGCCTTCCTGCCTGGCTGAGCCACGGTGGGTGGCCAACAATTATGCTAGATCACAGGAACATTTGCTCTGAACCACAGGCTTTCACACACTCAAGAGCACCCACCTTCCTCCCTCAGCTCGCTGTTGACCGACTGCTTACAGCAGATTATTTTTTCCACCAACTGGTTGTAGCTACAGTTACCAACTGCTTTCACAACGTCTCCAACCTGCAGCAAAAGAAAAGGGCACAATGTGCTAAACCCAACAGACACCAGTAAAAAGGTACGGTACGTGGGGCTCCCATCTGCGGTCGGGTGGGAGGGCAAAGGACAAAACAAGTATTCCAGTGGACCCCCATCACTCAACAGTGCGGCTTCTTCTCTCAGATGAATCTTGTGAGATTTTGGCTACAACGTTGAGATCCATATTTTGGTGCCCCAAGTCATGTCTGAAGTGCCTGCCAGCCCCGCCTGTCACTCGAGGGGTTTTCAAGCCCTCTGGGTGATGAAGCAATAGCCAGCATCAAGAAGGCTGGAAGCCGCTTGTAAGCCTGCAGTAGCCCATGAGCGCAGGGAGCTGCCTATAGCTGAGCTCTTCTCCCATCATCCACCACTCTGCGATCCCAGGGATGGGACGGTTGAGAGCACCATGGAATGTCTTTCCTGCAGTGGCTGCTCACTGAGGGCTTCCTACAACTCCATTTTGGAAAAACACCCCAACGGCCATGTTCCTCCAGGCCTCAGGAGTCAAACACCAGGGAATCTTTTCTTGCTATTTCTTGGGCCTTTAGCAAAGCTTGTTCCACGTGATTTTTAGGGCTTTAACAGCTCAGATGTTTTAATTGCTTTTAAAAGCTTTGCTAAATTGAAATGCCTCTTCTTGTTGGTGGTTTTGGTATTAAACATTAAAATAGCACTTTCCGGCCATAATACTAATCACATAAACAGCCTCTTGCTTACCTGAGGATCTACTAACCACCCGTGATATAATGGAATATCAAGAAGATCGAACACTATGCATTCAGGCGTGTATTCAAATACTCGAACCCCAGTGAACTTCACATTCACATCAAGACCAGTCTGAAGCTTGTGCAGGATTGCCATTGCATCACTGACATTCTGTTAAGAACAATACAAAAAATTAATGAAAAAGCTGAAGTCAGTTCAGTGCTTAAAGAGACCACATGGTTTGTCTGCCCTGTTCTACGCAATCTCTGGGCTGCCTCACATTACAACTGCTTTCGTGTTAAAGAGATACTCTTTGATTTGCACCGCAAAATTCTAGATGATCAGAAGTTGGCACCAAAGAATTTTCTGAATCTCTTTGCTGCCATCTATTAATCATGCACATTTTTGCAGTCCCAATCTAACTGTCCTATTGTGAAACAGGGTGAATGCACTGAAACAGAGACTACTTCACAAAAACCATCTTTCCCTTCAGAATATGATAAGTATACAAAAGCCTGACTCTACGTTCCTGCATATTTTAGGCACAGGAGAAAGCTTCCGCTACTTGGAATTTTACTGGACATTTTATACCAACGGAAAAATCAAAGCATCAGAATTCACTTTTAGGAAATGCCACTTCAAGTTAAGCTTTTTACCTGTTCATAGTTTAAACGCTGAATTTCAGAGATTTCTTTTGGTTTTGAATCAAGGATATAGTCTCCTGCAAGAAAACCAAAAGTTCTCATTTGAAAACCATTAATTCTACAATCCAAACAGATCCCATCTTGCTACAGATTGTCCTCCAATTAGCAGAGGGATCCTGCCGATGCCGCAACCCTTCGGGTTTTCAGAGCTAGAAAATCCTGAGCCAGGGCTCCAAATTAGGCAACTGTTGCTCGCCAACACAAAGAAGCGGCTTCCTTCGGCAGGTTGGGAAAGGTCAGCCGGTCCCGTAGCCGGGACGGGCCCGCGAGAGCCAGGTTTTCGGCGGGAGGCAGAACCGGAGGGGGGGTGGAGGGGGCGCAGCAGCTGCCCCCCCCCACGCCGAGGGGCTCCGGTGGGGCATCCCGGGGGGGGGAAGAGGCGGGGAGGTTTCGGCGGCTGCCTCGCGCCTCTTTCTCAGCCCCCAAAGGTTAATTTGTAAAACCCAGAAAAGGTCTCTGCGCTCGGGAGGGGGAGGCGGAGGGGGGCCCCGCCCAGGGACTCGGGGGGGGGAGCCAGAAGAAACGCAGCCCCCGCCGCCGGCTTCAGCTCGGAGTGCCGGCGGATGCCGGGAGTTCGGCATCGCCTTCGCGGGGCGGCCGATTTCCCCGCCGCCACCGAGGGGCTTCGACCGGGCGCTCACTGCCGTCGACGCCCCCCGGCCAGGGCGGCGAGGCTGGAGCCGGGCCCGGAGCGGACTCCCCGCCGCGCCCTCGCCCGCACCCACCCAGGTACTCCATCAGCTGCTCGGCGGTGACGATCTCCAGCATGGGCGGCAGCTTCACCTTCCAGGCCAGCAGCAGCGCGTTCATGACGGCCAGCAGCGGGCAGGGCCCGTTCTCGTTCTGCGTGACCACCGGCGCGCTCGCCTCCCGCCACCTCAACCACTTCAGGTGGTAGGCGGCCTGCGGCGGGGCGCGCTCCCGGGCCGGCGCGGGGGGCGACGGGCGCTGCTCCCGCTCGGGCGGGGCCTCCATGCCGCCGCCGCCGCCGCCGGGACTGGGCAAGGCAGGCGGAGGCTCCGCCCCGGGGGCCGACGGCTGGGCGTGGCGCGCAGGCGCAATCGAGCCGGAGGTGCACGTGCGGGCGCCGCTCCCTTCCCAGCCGGGTTGGCGGCTCTTCCCCGGCTGCCCGCCCTCCGCTACTTTATTATGCACCCAATTGATCGCAGTGATAAACCAACCCGTGAACCCCGGCCGGCACAAGGAAAGGCCATGAGCCACCCGAAGGCATCCTCTTGCCTCCCCGCCCGCGTGAGCTAGCCGGGGTTTGCTCCGGATTTCGGGCTTCGCGCTGTCCCGGAACTCTGCAACTCGGAAACGGGCTCTGGTCTGAAAGGTCCCGCTTGTGCGGTGGGGAGCGGACTGGGGAGGGTGGCGGAGACCCGACAGTCTGATGCGTCACTCGGGGGGCGCGAGGACCCGGACGGTGGGCAGCCAGAGCCTGACCCTCCGGAGCTCCTCAGCAGCCGCGGTTATTGCAGGGCTCTCACGTCGGCGGACCCGGCATGGCTGCGTAGGCCACCTCCCTTCCCAGGGAAGCCCCGCATTCTCAAGGGCGCTTGTAATGGCTGGGATGGGCTCCCTTCAGACATCTTTTCGAGTTTTTTATTCCGCTTTATTATTTTTATAAATAACTCAAGGCAATGAACGTCCTCCTTCCTCCTCTTTTCCCACAGCAAGAGCCCTCTGAGGGGGGCTGGGCTGAGAGAGGAGGACTGGCCAGAGTCACCCAGACGGGTTTTTAAGCCCAGGGTGGGACTGGGACTCGCCATCTCCCGGTTTCTAGCTTGGTGCCCTAACCCGCAGACCAAATCGGCCTCGGTGGAGGCTTAACTGCCTTCGGCGGGGCTCTCGGGGTGCAGCCCAAGGCGAATCCGGAGTCGTCCCTTCCACCCTCTTCCTGGAGGTCAGCAAGACGGGAGACGGTCCCGGGGCGTTTTTCCCACCTTCTCAACTCTTAGAAGTGCAAAAGACGAAGCAGCCTCACCAACGCAAATCCGGCAGTAAACATCAGAGGCGGTTCATTCTGAGGGTTTCGAAAGGAGCCTGGAGGTTTTCTCCAACACAGAACCGGCCACTCAGCAAAGCGCTGCGGAGCGACGAGTGCAAGAAGAGCCCCGAGGCCGCATCAAACTCGGCCCGCGAAGTTCCCCCTTGGGCGAGCAACCGAGCACGGAAGCCCCAGGCTCGGGCGTTGGAAACGGCCAATACCGTACGGAATTGGCAGCCACCGGAAGGTGATCCTGCGCGAATAGGACCAGAGTGGCTCCTTGAAAGCAGACGGGGGAGCCGACTCGTTCCCGCTTGGGGTCTCGGGGAGTCGAGTGCACTGCAAAAATTCCCCTCTTTTTGGCACTGATTTTCATGCAGCCCGCCCAGCAGCCCAGGACCTATGGACTCGGGTGGAAAATCTCTTGCGCACCTTGCACTGAAAGGGGAATCTGACTGGGGGAAAACTCCAAACGTGGCGAAGAGCCGAACTGGGTCCCGTGAACCCCGCCCAGCCGCCCACAGAACGCCACCGCCTTGCCCTTTAAGGCCAGCCCCGCCGCTCCCGCCCACGGAAACTGTGGCGGAGGTGGGTGGCGCAGCACCCCGGCGCGTCCTTCCCTTCCCTCCGATCAGATGACGACGGAGAGGGCGCGTGAAAGAAAAAGCGCGTCTTCTGAAAGACAAGAGGCGGGGCCAGGCAATTCTCCCGGGGGTGGGCGGGATCTGGCGAAGCCGCGCCTACTTCCCTTTCTCGGAGGCCGCCTGTGACTGGCTGCGCCGCGCTGGTCGGCGGGCGCGTGCCGGAGGAGGGAGGGCAGATGCTGGCCGCGGGGTCGCGCGCGGCGAGCCCTGACTGGCCGGCCCAGTGGGCGACCGGCGTGTGAGGCGCGCGCGCGCGCGCCCGTCCGCCTAAGGGAGGGAGCTTGTTCTGAGGTACTTTTGGTGGGAACCGGAGCGAGGCCGCAGGCGGGCGGCGCTGGCGAGAGGAAGAGGAAGAGGAAGTGGCGCCGTGCGGTCCCCCCCGCCCTTCCTTCCCCGGCCGGGCGGATGCTTCGTGGGTAGGCGGCGGCGGCGAGAGGCGGCCACCTGGCTGTGGCTGGCGGCGGGGCCTGGCAGGGCCGGGCGAAGATGGTGCTGCTGAGGGTCCTCGTCCTGCTCTGCTCCTGGGCGGCCGGAGCCGGAGGTAAGCCCGTCCGCGGCCTCCTCCCCGCGCCTCCAGGCCGGCCGGCCGGACAGGCCGTGATGAGCGCCGGCCTGCGCGGCCGCGGAACCTCCCCTCGACCGCCCCAACTCGCCGCCGCCGTGGCGGCTGGGCCTGGAAAGTTTTTCCGGCCTCGGGCAGCGCCAGAGCGGGCGGGTTCCTGGCTGGGCCGTCGTGCGCCGCCTCGAAGCCGGTCTTGACTTAGATGGACTTCGCCCAGTCGGCGCTTCTTGGAGCAGGGCGGCTGCTTCGGGGCCCGGAGCCGCCTCTGGGGCCCCGGTAGTTGGGCGGCCAGGGTTCCCCGGGGCCGGGTGTGGTTGGGGGGGGTCCTCCGGGAAGGTGGGCCGGGCCCCCCGCTTGCCCGCTGGACCATCGCATCCCTGGCCCGGGCTGCCTTGCGGGGGGGGGCGCAGCCCCTCCAGGGTTTTCCTGCCAAGGGTTCGTGGAAGGGCGAGAGGGGCGGCCTTGGTCGTGCCGGCTCGCCGGCGATGACATAGGGCCAGCCGGGAGTGACCGATACTACCAGGAAGTGGGGAGGGCGAGGTTTGGCGCGTGCCAAAAAGCAAAAAGGGGGGGGGGAGTCCGTAGCTTCTGGGTGGCGCCCAAGAGGCTTCCTTACCTAACTGGTTAAAGTGGGATTGGGCACCCTCTGCCATTGGAAAAGTTGCTGCGTTAAAAGTTCATATAGTAGTTGATTAATTCAGCCGTAAGTAAGAAGGTGTTTGATCAGGACATACTTGCCAAATGCTTTTCTGAAGACCCCCAAGGGGTAGCAAGGTGAAGAGAGGCAATTGCAACCATCTCCCGCCTGTCTGCCCCACCATCCAAGAACGGAAATGTAACTGTGGCAAGGAAACTTTAGGAACAGAAAATGGGTGTCCTGCCTAGTGTGATAGCAAAAACGAAATCATAGAAAGGTCTCTGATACTTAAGCGCTTTGTAGGCCAATTTAGAGCTATAGGACTAAAATAGACAAAGAAAATATATATGTATGGGTTGCTCTGAATTACCTTGCATAAAATGTATCATAAGGTCTTGAACATTTCATTGAGATGAAGCCTAGCAGTGCTAATATTATATTTAACTGCTTATATTTACATTTCTGTCACCAAATTGTGCTAATTACTAAATACTATTAAATACAAAATGCTATATTAATGAATTAGTTGATGTAGTATATTTCCAAATGGAAAATATCAATAATATCAAACTAAATCTTTTAAAATACTAAACTAAAAATGTGACCTGATGATCTTCATGAAAGAGTGGGAAGAGTGAATGTTCCAGTTTGGGAGTGAAGCAGAGAAGAAACTTCTTACAGGGCTGTTAGTGAGAGGACACTTTGTGGATAAACTTTACCAAGACCCAACTATCTCTGAAACCAAAGAGGTTGACATACTGTATATAATTTTCAGCACTACATGGAAGACCTAGATCAGGGATGGGCTGGGGAGTTTCCTCTGGACAGTTGTCTTAAATTCTGAATCATAATATATCTATATCAGTGCACATCAGAAAACATTACACTTAATCCTAGGCCAGTACCTCTGTCTTGTCTGGATTTTAATTCAGTTTGTTCACCTTCCTTCATTGTATATGATTGGTAATATTATTCTGAAAACATTATTCTGTCCCTTGTAAAACTTGTAATTGTTTGAGAATTTGCAGTCTTTCGTTCTTTGAAAATAAATGTTCCATATCTCAGCACATATCCAGAAGGGCCAATTATTATTCAAAATATCTGACCAGTTTTGTTAAGGTTGTTGATAAAGTTAATATCAGAGTCACTTTCATCTTTGGCAATAAAATCCACTGTTTCTAAAAGAGAAAATCCATGATTGCAATTATGAATTTTGGCATCAGTCTTCAATAAGCTTCTAAATTGGATAAAATGCTGGATTCATGTAGTATTTAAAAACAGCTAATCAACCAATTAGAGCTGAATCAGAGCTTAGGAAAAAAGACAAATTCTATGCATTTCTATAAATAGAATTTTTTCTTATTTTTGAGTTTACTAAGGAACAGTTGAGTAAGTTGGAAGACTTATGATTGTTTAGATATCTTTTTATGCTAAGTATGATGAGAAACTTAGTTCAAGTAACCTGAAGGCATCTTTGGTATTTCTCCCCCCCCCCCACTTTCCTTTTGTGCAAGAAATAGCAAAGGCTTTTGTTTTCACTTTTGAAGTAAACATTATTCTGTACCATATTATATCTAAACTGCCAATTGCTGTAGACGGAAATAAAGTGTTAATTAAAGGCCTGGTGGGGTAGATAAGAATGGTAGACTAGGACATTTCCTGGTAAACATATTCCTTCTGCCATGAAGCTTGTTAGAATTCATTTCAGATAATCTTTGAAAACACGATCTGTGTGTTGATTGTGTTGGAATGTGTTCATTCCTAAAATATTGTTAATTCTTCACAAAGAGTGTAATGCTTTGCGACTAGAAAGTCAGCAGGTTTTAAAGATAATTCTTGGAAGTATTTGGTCAGTTTTTAACCAAGAAATCAGTGAAATAATTATACTTTTCAAGAGCTTGCATATTCTTTCAACAATAGGCATTTCCAAGAATTAACTGCACATGAGAGAAGTATCTTCTTAGCCTTAACCACAGCAGTAATGGCGTGGCAGTCTTGGATTTCCTTCACTTTTGCTGTTGGTTAGCTGAGGTGGAAAGCTCCATTTTCAGCCCTTTGAAATTTCTCACACTGTAGGATTCTTTTTTTTTAATCTTACTAGATGAAGTTTCCAAAAAAGGTGCCGGAACTCCGTTCTGGGCATTCTATGAGAAAAAAAGCCCTGGCTATAACTAAGCAGTGGCATTTATATTGTTTTGTTACCTCTATTGCTGTTAGAATTAACTACACTTTCCTTTAGGAACCCATTTTACAATTGTATGAAATTACATTTGAGATATTAATTAACAAAATATTACTCTCTAACCCAAAATGCGGGAAAGATTGTCAGAGTGTATTGAATCATGACTTTGATGTCAGACACACTGTGGAATCCTAAACATATCAGCCTGTCCTTTGGAAAGTCAGAACCTGAAGGCTGATCTTAAGAGCTTTGTAATAAGTCAGATTCCACTCATTTTAATCATCTTTGTTAAGTCACTGTTTCCTATTCTTGGCCAAAAACACTGTCTATAATAGTTGAGGCTAATAAAGAAGTAGTTGAAAAAACTTTGTTGAATATTTAGACTGAAAAATAAATACAAGTGTCAGAATAATATATTTTCTGTTAACAATTTCCTAAGTGTTTACAATCTAATGTTTCTTTTGACATGATGAAAGTCTCCAGTTTGTAGTTACTCTGCAACAAGGGATGGGAAACCTTGGAACCAGCCCGTGCACAGAATAAGTGTAGACTTTATACAAACAAGTAAAAATTATTTTTCCACCACTAGACCAAAGAGGCAAGCATAGGTATTGCTGGTAAAAAAAACCAAAAAACCTCTTTCATCTGAATCATAGATTCAGTGCTGGTTGACTAATATACTGCATGCATCCTGGCAGATTTGATAACTGCATTTTCAACTGATATCAAACTGATATCTTAAATAAATCCTGCATTCGCTTTGTAATTACAAAAGTACCCTTGGAAAAAAAGAAAAATATTGCCATATTTGGTAAGTTGGGGATTTTGTTTTTCACTTAAATAAATTCCCAAAGTAAGTTTTGTCATAATACTGAGATTTGCCAAGTACAGTATGTTTCTATAAATCGTGTGTGGAGAACAGGAAATGAAAGCAAGTACACCAATTATTGTTTCCAGCGACCAAAGAAGCACAGATGTTTTTGGAATTTCTGCCTCCCTGAAAGAAAGCAAAGCAGTGATACTGAATTCTAGTAAATCAACCTAATGCACTACAGTCATTGCATCTTGCTGCTGTTGTGGCTGATTGAATAATTAACTAAAAATGGATGAAACACAGTTCTGCAAATGATAGCTGTTTTCATATCAGATAATTAAATTATCATCCAATTGCTCTAAAATAGCTTTCTATAAACTTAGTATTTTTTCTATGTAAGTTCTATGTAAGTTTTATGCCTTTTTTGCTTACTAGATTAATGTATTTGCATTCTACAAATTGCTTGTTTAACCAAAGAAATGGGGAACAGTCTGGCAGCTTTGTCAGTCTGGAGATACAAAATTATTCTTTCTTTCTCTGTTGGAAAAAGGAGTTTTACTAAAAGCCTGGCAGTGTTGCGTGCAACTGTCATTTGTGTAAAGAAGAAGCTAATGATAGTTGTTTACAAACTCCCTGTCAGTACATTTGTACTTTTGGACAGAAAAAAAACACATCCTTCAATTTGGGGACAAGAAAACTTGGCTTCAGGTGGACAGTTGGTTGCACTTGTGTTTGGAAAACCTTTGTTAGTTGTACTTGAAGAGAAACTTTAGAATGGAACATATGCAGGGTAATTTGAATATGCTTTTAAATTTCATGTCCACTCATTTCATAATTTCTGTTTTCTGCATACTCTCGTGTTTCTTCTTTCTGCTACAGCTTTAATTGTATTAGCTCTATTTCCTTGTTCTGACATCACTCATATTATGAAAAGCTTTTATCCTTTTCAAATAATATAATCGCTTTTTCTATTAATGAATCATTCTTTTTTGTTAGCAAAAATTTGAATGTACTGTAGACTATGCTTGTGATTAATATATCCATCCACTCCTTTGTTTGCAGGTCAGTATGGAAACCCTCTAAATAAATATATAAGACATTATGAAGGACTGTCATATGATGTGGATTCATTACACCAAAAACACCAGCGTGCCAAAAGAGCAGTATCCCATGAAGACCAATTTTTGCGCTTAGATTTTCATGCTCATGGAAGGTAAATATCATGTCAGTTAATTTCCCCCATAACCATTGACTGCAGTTGAATATAATTGAACAGTAATCACAATATCCACATTCTATCAACATGTAAAGTTAGATGTTTTTTCTACTGAAGTCCAATCTTAATGTTTTTGTTAGCTCCAAGGTAAGTATTTGGTAATATATGTGGAATTGGAGAGTTGTTGAATATTCCAGCCTCTGCACATGTAAATCTATGTTGGGGTGCTCTGTCAGTATTCAAGGTATAGATATGAAAGAATTATGTATTGGCATAGTTTTAGAGAAAAGAAAATACATTTTTCCCATCTCTGAGGTTTTCCAGACTTTAAAAATGGCTGCACTGTATTCAAATATGATATGTTCTTGAGTTTTTATATCTGCTTAAGGAAGCCAAGGGCAAATATATGTAGTAAATCTGCTAGGCTTCCCCTTTCTCCTTACTGAACCTATATAAGAGCTTATGTCAAATATTTATAAATTCTGCAAAATTAAGAGCAATCTATTTTTAAAATGTACATCAAAATAAGTATAAGCAGAGGTGTATAAATTTGGTGCACATAGTGGCGGCCAGCTGGCTTGCTTAATGTTATCTGTGCAAAGCAGTTTGTGGCAACCTCTCTGCAAGTGCCAGATGAACTAGCATCATTATTACTGTTGTCTTACTTGAATCCATAATTTTTCTGTAGCATTTTATGTCTTGCAATGTTTCTAGCTGGGATTGAACTAGGATATAGTATAAAATGATAGTATTTCTAATTTATAAAAACTAGCCTCCATGTTCAGATAGCATATGTTTTCCTGTAAATAGTTGAAATATGATTATACTTAAGGTAATTTAATCTCCTTGGTTGTAATTATGGTGTGAGAGTTTGCATGGGGCTTCAGGTTATGTTGATCCCCTACAAATATTAAGGAAATGAAGGTGTGGGGTAAAAGCATAGCTCTTTTACTATGCTTAAATATAAATGCATATCAACTAAAAATGCTAAATACAAAAAAGGAAGATACTTAACAAAGTTGAGGACATTCATTTTTATATATCAGCTCGTGGTAAGAGGTGTTTTTGTAAATGTAATTGTCTTTCTTCCCTTTGCAGACATTTTAATCTGAGACTGAAGAGAGAGATGTCTCTCTTTAGTGATGACTTTAAGCTAGAGATGTCAGATAAAGTATTTGATTATGATACCTCCCATATTTACACTGGGCACATTTATGGTAAGTGCAGGAACTGTGGTTTCTGTTTTGAACTAGCAATAGCTCCTTGTTTAGTCATTTATGCATTTATGCAATGTAGAGCAATAGGCCATATTTGTGTAAAATTGAAACAATTTTAGAAAGTTCATTTTTGTCTTTAAAAAGTTGCCAGAAAGTACATTTACATTTCACATTCCTTTTCCCCCTTCATTTTATCATAATTCTGTTATTTTTCTGAAGAAAAAAGTTTGATTTGAGTCTTTTCCATGTAACAGCACAATAAATGAAAAGATCCTACATTTATGAGATGCTGCATTCCTTGGACTGTTCAGTTTCACACAAAAAGCTTTGCATTACAGTTCATGTGAAAATGTGGCATACTAGTACAGGGTGTTCTTTCCCATAATAGATTCTGGCTTGGGGTACATTCTGCGGCCTCAGAATACCTGTGCTCCACAGTATTTTGGAATATGGTACTGAACTATTCGTTCTCACAGTGTCCGGTTTGAAGGAAAGCTACATTTGAATTACATTTTTTAACATACTTGGTAAAAATTAAAACAAAAATGTTGCTTGTAACTTTTGCAAGGGAAATAATTTACATGGGAAGTAAACTGAGTAAACTAATATTTAAAGATGTGGAAAGTAAGATAATAGGGTCTATCTAGACTGAAATACAGCATAATACAGTTCCATGATCACGGCTTGAGTGCTTGGCAGCCGGCTCACCTTTATAGGGCTTGCAGCATTTGCAGTCAGCTGATCATGATTTGCAATCTTCCCAGCCTGCCTCCAGCAGCAAAGACAGTTGGGGAAGCAGGGTTCATGTAACCCTGTGATTTGCCTAAGGACAGCAACAATTTGTTTAATGGCTACTGTAAAAATGGTCACGAAATCAGGTCCAGTCATGTGATGACTTGCTTAACAACTGAAATTCCAGTCCCAAAGAACTAGCAGAACCAAATGTGAGATATTTATGGATACCGGTGCTGACTAGAACTTGATACAGGTATGTTCATGAATGTTGCATTAGTTTCTTGATCAGTTGCTGAGAAGACATAATTCAGACTCGGGAACTTGCCTATTCTTGCTGGGAATTGATGCTGATAAATAAGTATTCTAAAGCCTACATCCTTTTTTAAACAGGTGAACAGGGAAGCTTTAGCCATGGATCTGTTGTTGATGGAAGATTTGAGGGATTCGTTAAGACTCACACTGGAACTTTTTATATTGAGCCAGCAGAAAGATATGTTAAGGACAAAGCCCTACCTTTTCATTCTGTCATGTATCATGAAGATGATATCAGTAAGTTTTTATTCTATGTTGAAAATATGCTATTTAGAAGAGGTGTACAAAAGCTATGAGTGAGTGAGGTTTCCAGGACACTAAAACTTAAAACAAAATAAGGCTCACTGAGCATCACTCTTCCACTGCTGTAGAGGGACACCTATCCTGAGCAGGGTGAGTCACGTTGCTTAGAAAATGTTATAATCCTCATAGGACCATCTCTAGGGAAGAATTTTTTTTCAAGTGTTCACACAAGTTCCTGAGCTTCATTTCCTATTGTTTAAAGTGTCCCCTGAAGTACTCAGCTAATATAAGCAACAAGCTCCTAAATGCACAAAGCTTTTGATATCCTATTAAATATCACCCTTCAATTGTAATTGTTAGTGGTATTACATGCAGTTAAATCAAGCTATTGGATTTGTTATTTCCTTATCTCTCTCTATTTTTAAAAAGGACCATTTTATCCTTTTTTTTCATTTGGAGGCATACTGGAATATAGAGAACAAAAGCATCATGTTGTCAGCTGTCTATTTAAGTTAATTATTTTCAAGGAAACTTGTAATACCAAGACTATATTGTAGAAAATCGTGATCTGCACATCACTTTGTGTAAAGAAGGTTTGGTCTTCTGCTTTCTAATATGACTCCATCTTCTGTCTGTTACCACTGGGATCACTGCATTTTACTTTTGATAGTACTTCTTCAGATTAGTATTCAGTCTACAGATTTTACCAGTTACATTTCCTGATTCCCTCAGATAAATTGATTGTTTTTGTTTCTGTTACAGAAACAAGAATGTCTCACCAGATTTGAAAATGAAAAGATGCATGAGCCAAGCAAAGTATTGAGCTAATAGAACTTTCATTAGAAAGCATAGGCTGTGGAATATGGTAGACATTATGTTATTTTATTATTGTTTTGAAAGAAAAAGAGCAAAAAGCCAGCACAATTTAGGGGATTTAAGCAACTTAATGCTAGTCGTTCAGGATATTCAAGTTGGAAAACACTGGATAGATCTTTAACAAATGCATCAAGAGTCTTGCTAGTTTTTCACAAAAAGACCCCCATGCCTTTAATTCGATATGTAGTTTACAATTCCAAACATTTTGTAATGTTTCTGCTCACAGAATAAGACATAGTTAAAGAGATTGTACATAAAGCGTACAAGGTTACAATCAGTTCAGGCAAATGCCTCAGATCAAGAAATGTATATTATTGGACTTCTGGTTCCGGATCGCAGCACAGGTGGTCATGCGAAGAGACTTCTCTCTTTGCCGGCCAGTTTCCTTCCACCGGTAGACCCTCAATAGGGTCGAAAAGTCGCCCTGGAGGGGCGACTACCATTGAGGAGGCCCCTTGTTAGACTGCGGAAGGGCGGCAGCTCCTTCCGCGGTCTGAGCCAGCTCCTTAGGGCCAACAGAGAAAAATTGGCCAGTAAAATGGCCGATCACTTAGCTGTACCAGCTAAAAGTCAGAAGAACATGTAAGCGTAAAGAACTACTGTGGAGGATCTGGGTGAGACCTTTCCTTCCCTCTCTTTGTCTTAACTACTTTCCTGTAAAAAGCTTCTGAACTACTTCCCTGCTTTAAGAAAGCGCCGTCTGTTTACTTGGGAAAAAGAGCTCTGGAAACAAAAGAATATAAAATAACTAACTTTTATTGACTATTTAATTTTTGGGATACCTAGAGGTCCTGAAAAAATTCCTATCATAGCATCATTATTATTTTACTTATTATACTGGAGATATCTGCTTTTTTTCCCTCTAATTTCCTAATGAGAAAATTTTTTATTAACTTGGAAAAAAAGATCTTACAGTCTACTGAGGACATCTTGTGGCGAAAATTGTTATTGCAACTGTATTCCCTCGGTGTTTGAAGATGGATTTGGCCTTCAAATGATAATAAAAGGGAAAAGAAACAGCTGGGTGGTGAGTTTGTTTACTAAATAGTGGAGGTGGATATTTGTTGACTTTTAGTAAATAGAGCCTCCACTAAAAGATTAAAAGGCTATTTCACCACTGAAATGGAGGAATTTTACCCACAGCTTAATTATGAGCTTATATTGGAAAATATTTTGGAAGTTACGGAGTATATGAAATCTTGGAGAAAAATTAAAGATGATATTTCAGAACCACAAATTGAATCTCAATCAATAGGCCAAGGAACAATAGAGGAGGAACAGATTAGCTCCAAAGAGACCTGTACGCAACAATATACACAACTTAAAGAGATGGAGGAGCCATACCCACAACTCAACTATAAACTTGTACTGGGAAAAACTGTGGAACCTACTGAGCAAATCAATTCTAGAAAAACTCTTGTCCCAAAATCTCAAACTTTTAGACTCCAATTGATTACACCATAAGTCAAGAAACAACAGAAAAGGAATCAATTAATATAGAAGAGGATATTGTACAACCCCATACACAATTTATGGAGAACCTCGAGACATCTGCAGTGTTAAAAACAACAGGAATTGACAGACACAAATTACTGAAATCTGTGATAACGTGGATAATCAACTAGTAACTACAACATGGAATAAAATTGATTACACCATTCAGATGATACTGGAAGAAGGGGAAGAGAACTTTGACCAGACTGAAGTGTCAATAAATACCCCCATTCAAATATTGAGATTCAATGGTTCAGAAGCCTTACTATGGAAACCGGTTTGGCACAGAAAAAAAGCCAGAATTAGATTTAAAAATGTGACTTAAAATTTCACTTAACGGGTTAAAATGGCTTTAGAGATCTTGACTGATTTAATAATTAACGGAGTATGTGAATTCAATAAGAAGATATCTTTTGTAATAATATGCTTGTTTTAGATATGATAATTATTGGAGGCGATTTAAATTTTACCGAATGGGTTAAAAAGATTTTTTATAGACATAGATTGATTGATAGAATATATATCTAAAATAGAGTAGAAATGTATTTTTGGGATTAATATTTTTATTTTAGGTAGGATAACTATTTCGTAATGGAAGAAGAATAAGAGGGAATTGTGACAAGAGAAGAAATGGTATTAATAAATGATTTATTAGATTAAGAAATAGAATATATATGGAAATTATAAGAATGCTACTGTTGGAATAATATATGTATTTTAGATATAATTATTATGTTAGGAAAAAAGGGAAATGAGGGATACCCGAAGTTTAAATAATATGTTTATTCAACGCTAAATTGGAATATGGTAACAGTAAATTAGTAAAGCTCAAAAACAGGATTTGGATTTTTATAGATGAAATGTTATTGATGACTGTTTTGATTGATTGAATTCTATTTAGAAATGTATTAATTTGAATATGTTATATTACATGAGGGAAATCGAGAGGGAACTTTTAATGAATTAACCTGAGATATATATGTATGATTTTGTTTTTGGATGATTGATTTCCCCACCACCACGTCATTTCTTAAGCACTTTGATGTAAAAATTTAAAAAACCAATAAAACTTGTTTAAAAAAAAGAAATTTATATTGTTAATGAGTGAGCCCTTCCATATTTTAATTTTTGCAAGAATATTCTGTTAGAGCTTTTGGGATACAACAATGCGGCATATGTTCAGCATGACAAGGAAGTCTTATTCAGAGCTGAAACAAAAGGCAGTTCTAAAAATGAGGATTATATTGTACTGTTTCCTACAAAGACCTTTGTTCACGTTGCTCTCTCTTAATGACCAAATAAAAGGCAAACCTTTTATTCTGATTTAAGGGATAGGGCAATTATTTGAATTAGTTTTTATACGTTCATGGGATATTATTTATTGAAAAAAATGGTTTTGCCAGGAGGGAGTTCTTTCTACTGTGACTGAAACAGTCTTGTTTGGGCATTACTTGGGCCCTGCCAGAAGAGTATCAATCATTGCAGAAAAAGTTGGAAATTGAGAGCAGAAGCCATATAAAAGCTCTAGAAGCATTTCTGGATATGGCACCCGGCATATTCTTGCTACTACTGTTGAATTGTGATAGAAAAGAGTAATGCTTACTGGCCGTTTTGTTATTCTCAAGGTAACCTGTCTCTTTGATTGTATTTGCTTGGATAAAAATGATGAAGTTGCAATAAACCTAAAGACAATAGGGGAAGGAGTATAATGTAGAAGCTGATCCAGATCAGCAGATAAAGATCCACAGGTTGAAGGGGGGGGGAGCACAATCATATAAAATAACAAATGCAAAGAATCTGCTCATGTTACTCTGCTTATCATTCTAAGTGGCACAGGGCCAGGTTATCTGTGGGGCCACCTCTCCCGGAGGGTATCCACCCACTTCCCCCAGGCCAGAGGGGCCACGCTCCCAGTGCCTTCCCTTATCTAGTGGGATTTAGGCAGCAGGCCTTCTCAGTAGCAGCCCCTGCCCTCCCCTGAAATCCAGGAGACTCCTGCCCTCCTCGCCTTCTGGAGAGCCTTGAAGACCTTTTCTCACAAGCACTGAGCTGTAGTGAGGCGGGAGCCCAGTATAGTTATTTATGGGGTTGTTGAGTATTGTGATTCAAGATTGTACCCAGGTTGATTCTTATGATGCATTGGTTTAAAAGGGAAGTTTCATTTGATTGCTGCTTTATTAAACTATGCAGATTAGAATTGCTTTGTTCTTGTCTGGAAACTGTTTTTAGCCAGCAAGGAGACAACAATTAATCATTGCCAGGGCAAATCTGATCCCTTGCTTGAAGATTGCTTGGATCCTGACTTCTTTTTTAGAAGGTTTTTATGCTGCTCACTTCCACTGGCTTTGGGTGACTGACAATAATACTTCTGTATAGATATCCATAAAAACAACATTAAAAAGTGTGACCAATATAAACAGCAGATAAAGCAATAGCATCAGAAAATCTTAGTTAATATGTTCTAAACTCTTCTAAAAGGTAAACAGTGGGGGGATTGCTTTGTTCCCAGCGGAAGATTGTTCCATAATATGCAACCCACATGTACAATTGAGCCAAACATGGGATGTGGCAGTTAAGGGGACCCGCAGCTGCTAGGATTTTGTGCCAAGTTTATCTTTAATAGAAAAACAAAGCATATGGGACACCTCGTATTAGCTGCGTAATACTGTTTAATGCCCCACTCTGCAAAAAGAGAGAGGATTATGTAACAGATTGAACTAAGCCTCATTAAAATAGTTATTGATATTGGATATTTCTTCCTTGTCTCTTTCCATTATTTTGTTCCTACTGATTTGAATACATTTTAAAATTAGTAACTGAGTGTCTTAATTTTAAAACCATTTCTAGAGGAAAATATGTACCAGCAAATCTTTCGTTTCAGAATATCCCCATAAGTATGGACCACAGGGCGGTTGTGCAGATCATGCTGTCTTTGAAAGGATGAGAAAATACCAAATGGCCAGGGGGGCAGAAGAAGAGCCAAGGCACCAGGTATCAAGCATGGAATAAATGATTGGATAAAATGCCTGTTATCTTTTCTGTGTATCTACTGTTGATCTGACCAGGGAAATTGTATTCTGCTATTGACACGATGTGACACAAAACAAGCTCCTGGTTTATCTAATTTTGAATTGACATGTCATCACTATGTGTTCCTTGCAGTTTTTTCAGTTTGAATTTGCCAGATGTTACCAGAAGGTTTTGGGCTTTTTGCAAATATCTAGTATGCAGAACTGGCTGAACTTTGCATGTAATAATGTAGAGAATTTTACATTTCTGGCCCCCCAACAGTCTTTAAATTATCTATAGCTACAATCCGTAGACTGAGTTGATTTATTAGATTTTTAAATTTCTACTAAAATTAATGACAGGTTTAAGAATATTTTAAGTACCTGATAGCAGCAGGCCCAAAAAGTTGAATTTCCTCGGGCTGCAGAAATGTGGCTTTCCATGATTTGTCCATCCAAGTGGCTCCTGAGGTATTTTGTTTCTTTTCAGTCCTTGGCTAAATTTTGTATAAGGCAAATTAATTAAGATCTTCAACTCCAAGTTACTCTACCGCAGTGGTTCTCAACCTGAGGGTCGGGACCCCATTTGAGGTCGAACGACCATTTCACGGGGGTCGCCAAACAACGCAGTCCGCCATTTTTTCCCCCTTTTCCTTAGCTGTGCTACTCCCTTTTATTCTATTGGCTTTTGAAAGCCAATAGAATAGACTCTCTTGAATAGAGTCTAATTCTATTGGCTTTCAAAAGCCAATAGGAATTGTCCAGGCTGTCTGGAAGTTTCCACCCCTCCCTGCTGAGCAACTACTAAAAATTTAAGTAAAAGAGGGCCAGAGGTGGGAGGTGGGAGACCAGCGGGCGCAGGGAGGGTTGCTGGCGCGCGTGGGGCCCGGTGGGTGCCTTACCTCCCTTGGGCTGGGCCAGCTGGTGGCCCAGCCAGTGGTCGGCCTGCGCTGTCTCTGCCGCTTGCCAGCTACGCCTTGGCCAGCGCAGGGGGCGGCACCATACATGCGCGGTGCTCCTGGGCAGGGAAAGTCCTCGACTTACAACCGGTTGGGTAGTCCTCAACTTATGACCGGTTGGGTGGTCCTCGACTTACGACCGGTTGGGGGTCGCGGCATTAAAAAGGTTGAGAACCACTGCTCTACCGGCACATATACTTAGAGAAATGTGGCTGGCTGCAAGCAGCTGAGATTGTACGGGTGAAAGATGAACGGGGCGGTACGATGGGATGGAGAAGAGCTGATCTGAAATTGGCACCTTCTGTCACATCACTCCAGAAATGACAAGGTCCATAACTTTGCTTTAATCCTCTTATTCTCACACACAAGTTGAATCGTTTGAAATGGAAGGCTATATAAATACCTTGTACCTAAATGTAACTGACTCCTTATGTTTTAGCAGCCATCTGAGGAACAGATCAGAGATGACCCTGAGCTCTTGAGGAGAAAACGAGCCGCGCAAGCTGAAAAGAACACATGTCAACTCTATATTCAAACCGATCATCTTTTCTTCAGGTATTACGGAACCCGAGAAGCTGTGATTGCACAGGTAAGCTCCTGGTGGTTCCTGCAGAAGCTTGATTTCCTTGTCAAAACAAAGGGCAGAAAGCGGAAGAGCTTTTATAGGCCACGATGCAACTTTGAGTGTACTAGTACAGGCATTTATTTTCCGCAAATTATGTGCACAAGTGTGATAATTGCAGAATTATCATGGATGTTTACTGCGGCCTCTTTTGAAGAAAAATGACTAAAAAATTTGAATATCCAGTGAAATTTATGAGATTGATCATATTATTGTCGCTCAGTTGTAGAGGACATGCTTTGCCTTGAACAGCTCTGGGTTATGTCTGTGGCTCTGGCAAGAGGATTGAGAAAGATTCTTGTCTGAATCTCTGAAGAGTTTCTGCCAGCCACTTTCGGAATTTGTATCTCGTAGGTAGCTGTATATGGGCCTAGAAGAACTTGGGGAGGGGGGAGGGGGGGTGCCTCCTTCTGCCTAGAGCCTAGGAGGAGAAATAAGGGAGAGTTCAGTTTCACTCGTTTTTTTCCAGGCCAACCAAGAATCATTAATAAAGTCCCTCTCTTTCAGACCAACTCACCTCAACCGATGGTTGTTGTGGAGAAAATAGGAGGAAGAAATATTATGTACGTTAGCTTCCTTGAGTTTATAAGTAATAAAATAAAATAAAAACCACTTTTGGTTGGAAAATCAACCCCAAGTCTGTTTGCTTTGTTTTGACACCTAACTGTGATTCCTTTTAAATCCTGATACGGAAAGAAGTCAGGAGGTCACTAAGGTGAACCTGAAGTCAGTGTATATAGAGGCAGCCTGAGCCAAAGGCTGTGCGCAGGTTTCTCTCTGCTGGAGGGCAAGCTGGAGCTTGACTTAGAGACACAGATCAGCGCTTGCCCTTGGGCACCCAGAGTTAGAAAAACGGATCTTGCAGGTTGCAGAGGGAAGTGGATCTACCGCCAATGTCTTTAACTTCCTCTTTCTTTTAGATTTCCAGCCATGTCAAAGCAATTGACACAATTTACCAATCTACAGATTTCTCAGGAATCAGAAATATCAGTTTTATGGTAAAACGAATTAGAGTAAGTATACAGAAATGTAACAATGTAAATCTTATGCACTTGCTGATTTAGTTGTATTTTCCTCTTTTTATTGGGTTTCTTCTTCCACTGACAAGCCTTAATAGCTAGTAACTTTATTTAAATGATTGATTTGCTTTTATGTTGCCATCTTTTACTTGCAAATGTTGGGAAGACATTTGTAGCTTCTTGACTTGACAGTTTGCTGTTCAGTTAGTTCCATGTCCTGATTTCTAGAGAGTGGATCAGCTCAGGTGCTCGTCTTTCACTCTTTCATGACAATAGCTTCTTCAGGCCATCACTTGTGCATAATAAACTGTACATCTGCAGAATCCTTACCTCATCTCTGTGCTTCGGGGTGGGTAACGTTCACACTGTTCTTCTCTGAGTAATTATTTGTGAAAACAAGTAGGTGTGGATTTTTTTTTACTTTATCCAAAAGTGATGTCTAACAGTATACAATATATTTTTCTTACAGATCAACACTACCCAAGATGAAAAAGATCCTTCTAATCCCTTCAGATTTCCAAACATTGGTGTGGAGAAATTTCTAGAACTTAATTCTGAGCAGAATCATGATGATTATTGTTTGGCCTACGTGTTTACTGATCGTGATTTTGATGATGGTGTCCTTGGCTTGGCCTGGGTTGGAGCACCTTCAGGTAAATAATTATTAAATAGTATAAAGCATTATTAGAGATTAAATTTAATGAGCTGAAAAAAACATTTTATTGGGTATCTGGAGGGCTGCTGCAGGTGAGTATTCTCTGTTTTGAAGTTTACATCCATCTTGGATAAATTTTCTTGAAGGAGTTTGAATGTCCTGGTACTAACCATAATCTCTGGCTGCATAATCATTTTACTTCCAGAAAGTTGAAAAATATATTTTAAGACTGCTTCAATTCTTTCAGCATCAGATGCATTATTTACAGCTATAACATTGTGAGTTGTTCAGTTTACAAACTTCTGAGCGCACTTTGTTGTTGCAAAATATTTAGCCCAAGAATATCTGCTTATCTCAGCAGACAGAGTGACTCATTCTTAGGGGCATAATTACAGACAAACTGTATTTGAGAAGTTTCAGTTGAAACCACAGAGACTAAAATATCTAGCCACAGAGATTAAAAATAAAGAATTCATGGCTGCAGTACTACACAACACATCCAACCTGGCTAAATACACTTAAGATCAGAATACCCAGAATTATGGATCTCATCATCCTCTGCCTCACTATCTGCTTTCAGTTTGATGGAGAAATATAGCAACAAATCCCCTTGTGGATCACCGGTCTCAGAATTCGTAGCAGGGACCAATGCAGCTTCTAGAAAGTATTACACTTCCACAGATACCAGTAAATGTATGGCTCCAATGTGTATACGACCCTTCCTCATAATAAAATGAACAAGGAGCAGACATGTGAAATCATTCACACAAAAATAAAAATCACTAGAGAAGAAGAAAACACTCACCCATTATCTTCCTGGATATCCTCACCATCAGAGGAAACAATGGCAAATTAGACATGCAAGTGTGCTGAAAAACAATCCGCACTAAGTGCTCTCAAATAAGCACAAACACACTGTAGTAACCGATGAACACCAGAAAAAGAAAACAGACTTCCCTATACAACATTTTCCAAGAAAATGGATACCCATGCAACTTTATCAAAAAGTGACTGACTCTCCAGCACAACGCAGCACAACCAACACAACCTATGAAAAGAATAACATTGCCATACATCAGAAATATCTCAGAAACAACCAACAGATGTTTACATGGCATCACTGAAGCATACAAACCAACTAAAGTCCTCCAGAACATTGCAAATAAAGCAAAAGACCTCCAGCAGCTCAAGGAGAAAAAAAGGAGTCATCTACAGTCAATAATAATAATAATAATAATAATAATAATAATATCTGCAAAAAATATCATTTGCCTGTAAGCAAAAACTGGTGGGATCATAAAATAGAGAAAGTCATAGAAAATGATAAAATTAAACTGCTCTGGGACTTCAGAATTCAAACAGACAAGCACCTGCAACATAACACCCCAGACTTAACAATTGTCGATAAGAAAGACAAAAAAGTCTGGATAGTGGACGTGGCAGTGCCTGGAGACAGCAGAATAGACGAGAAAGAACTGGAGAAGATAACAAAATACAAAGACCTACAAATAGAAATAGAAAGACTGTGGCAAAAGCAAGCAAGGGTAGTACCAATAGTAATAGGCTCCTTGGGTGCAATCCCAAAACAACTGGAGCACCACTTGAACACCATTGGCATTGACAAATTCGCTGTTAGTCAATTGCAAAAGGCGGCCTTATTAGGAACTGCTTCCATCCTGCGACGATATCTGTAATACCATCAAACATCCACATCTGCCTATCCCAGGTCCTGGGTAAGGACTCGATAGGTAGACAAAATGCCAAATCCAATCTGAACATCTGGCTGACTGTGCGATGATCGATAATAATAATAATAATAATAATAATAATAATAATAATAATAATAATAATAATAATAATAATGTTGGAAGGGACTTTGGAGATCATCGAGTCCAACCCCCTGCTCAGGCAGGAAACCCTACACCATTTTGGACAGATGGCTGTCCAGTCTCTTCTTAAAAACTTCCAGTGTTGGAGCATTCACCACTTCTGGAGGCAGGTTGTTCCACGGGTTAATTGTTCTCACTGTCAGAAAGTTTCTCCTTAGTTCTAGGTCAGGCATGTCAAACTCGCGACATCTCGGAGCTTTTTCGCCATTGCTGGCAATGGGGTGGGTGCGGCTCCAGTATGATAAAACCGGCCCGCGGGCCAGCAATTTGACACCCCTGTTCTAGGTTGCTTCTCTCCTTGATCAGTTTCCATCCGTTGCTTCTTGTCCTGCCCTCAGGCGCTTTGGAGAATAGCTTGACTCCCTCTTCTTTGGGGCAGCCCCTGAGATATTGGAACACTGCTATCATGTCCCCCCTCGTCCTTCTCTTTGTTAAACTAGAGATACCCAATTCCAGCAACCGTTCTTTATATGCTTTAGCCTCCAGCCCCTTAATCATCTTCTCTGCACTCTTTCCAGAGTCTCAACATCTTTTTTACATTGTGGCGATCAAAACTGGATGCAGTATTCCAAGTGTGGCCTTACCAAGGCATTGTAAAGTGGTATTAATACTTCACATGATCTTGATTCTATCCCTCTGTTAATGCAGCCCAGCACTGAGTTGGCTTTTTTGGCAGCTGCAGCACACTGCTGGCTCATATTTAGGTGATTGTCTACTAAGACTCCAAGATCCATCTCACAGTTACTACTATTGAGCAAGGTACCACCTATACTATACCTATACATTTGGTTTTTCTTGCCCAAATGTAGAACCTTACTTTTTTCACCATTGAATTTCATTTTGTTAGATAGTGCCCAATGTTCAAGTCTGTCCAGGTCCTCCTGTATCTTAAGCCTTTCTTCTGGAGTGTTGGCTATTCCTGCCAGCTTGGTGTCATCCGCAAATTTAATGAGTTCACCATCTATCCCCTCATCCAAATCGTTGATGAAGATGTTGAAGAGCACTGGGCCTAGAACAGAGCCCTGAGGCACCCTACGACACGCTTCCCTCCATGTAGGTGCAGTTCCATTGAGGACCACACACTGGGTAGGGCCGGTCAGCCAACTACGAATCCATCTGGTGGTGATGCTGTCTAACCCACTTTTTTCTATCTTATCAAGTAGTAGGTTGTGATCTACTTTATCAAATGCCTTACTGAAGTCCAAGTAAATTATATCCACAGCATTCCTCTGATCCACTAATTTTGTCACTTGGTCAAAGAATGCAATAAGGTTTGTCTGGCATGATCTGTTTTTGACAAACCCATGTTGGCTTTTAGTAGTGATTTTGTTTGCCTCTAGGTGTTCGCTGATTCGTTGTTTGATTATCTTTTCCAGAATCTTCCCAGGTATTGAGGTCAAGCTGATAGGTCTGTAATTTCCTGGATCCATTTTTTTTCCTTTTTTTGAAGATGGGAACTACATCAGCTCTTTTCCAGTCCTCTGGTAGTTCCCCAGTGCTCCAAGATCTTTGAAAAGATCACATCTGCAGTTCCTTGAGAACCTTGGGGTGTAATCCATCTGGTCCTGGTGATTTGAACTCATCTAGGCTGGACAGGTGCTCACTTATCATTTTCTTGCCTATCTTAACTTGTGTTTCTACACTGTTTTTTATGGCACTATTTTTGATAGGTTGGTCTGTTTTTTCCCTTTGTGTAAAGACAGATGCAAAAAACGAGTTAAATAGTTCTGCTTTCTCCCTATTGCTTGTCACCTTCTTGCCACTTTTGCCCACTAATGGACCAATCATTTCCTTCACTTTTTTCTCGTTTTTTACATGTTGAAAGAAGCTTTTTTTGTTATTTTTGACTTTGGTCACAAACCTTAGTTCATTATGAGCCTTAGCTTTCCTTACTTCATCTTTGCAGGCTCTGGCTATTTGTTGATATTCTGATTTAGTTATGTGCCCCTCTTTCCATTTTCTATACTTGTCCTTTTTATCTTTCAATTTATCAGAGAGTTCTTTATGCAGCCATGCTGGTTTCTTTTGAGAGCTGTTATTTTTCCTCTTTGTTGGTATTGTGCTAGACTAGGCTTCTATTATCTCGCTTTTCAGGATTTCCCAAGCTTCTTGAGTTGTTTTCCCCTGGAGGATTCTCATCCATGGAATCCTTCCCAAGCTGTCTCTAAGTTTATTGAAATTCGCTCTCTTGAAGTCCAAGACTCTAGTTTGACTATGTTCTATTGCTTGTGCTTCCATAATGTTGAATTCCAATATTGCATGATCACTACCTCCCAAGGTTCCTGTGGCTTCAACACCTTCTATCATTTCATCTCTGTTAATGAGACTTAGATCCAAAATGGCTAATCCCCTAGTTCCCTTCTCTACTTTTTGGGAGACAAAGTTGTCTGCTAGGTTTGTCAGGAATCTGTTTGATCTTCCACTTGGTGCAGAGTTTGTCTCCCAATTGATGTCAGGGTAGTTAAAGTCCCCCATTACTATTGTGATTTGCTTCCTACATACCTTAGTTAGCTGACTAGCAAAAAGTTCATCTATTTCCTCTGTTTGGTTGGGTGGCCTCTAGTATACACCTATGGCAATGTCATTTTTTCTCCCTTTTATATTGACCCAAATGCATTGAAGACAGTTTTCATCATTGTTGTGCTCTATTTGTATAGAGATGTAGTTATTTCTTATATAGAAAAATATATGTACGTACGTACATACGTATGTATGTATATAAATATATACAAGGTAAAGGCTGCAACAGCAGCTACAAAGAATAGATTGGCAGAAGATTAGCAGATGCATCCTGAACATCAACTAGCAGCCAGAAGAGAGGATGAAAATTCCTTCATCTCAAAAGACATTGGAGCTGTGAGAATCCTAGAGCAAGCTAAATCACAAACACGAGGTAATTCCTGGAAGCCTAGCCTTCAGACAAATCGGCCATCAACAGAGATAAACCTTTAAGAATATCAGCTTTTGAGAACTGTTTTGTCTGGAGTGAGAGCCAATGATTTTGCCTTTACAGTACCAGAACAGTTCAAAGAGCTCTCATGATTTCTGACTAGCTCACAGAATCAAAAATCAGAATAAACTGACACATTTGGAAAGTATTTTAATGATAAAAATGATTTCTTTAATTTAAAAGTGCTGCTTTAACTGCTGCTTAATAATCATTTTCTAATTAGTTTTGTTAAAGATTACTGTTTGATTTTAATTACAGGGAGCTCTGGTGGAATCTGTGAAAAAAGCAAGCTTTATTCTGATGGGAAAAAGAAGTCCCTAAATACTGGCATAATCACTGTGCAAAACTATGGTTCCCATGTCCCTCCTAAGGTCTCCCATATCACCTTTGCGCACGAAGTGGGACATAACTTTGGTTCTCCTGTAAGTATATGTAAGTTCTAGGTCTCCCTGGCTGGTCCAGCTTTTACGGCAGATCCAGGAACTCTTAAACCATCCCCTCTGCCCACAAAATTAATTGGTCCTGCTTATTGCAAGATGAAACAATTTGATGAATTGGGCCAAGTAACCTGCCTAAAGAGTCTCCTGTCTCCTTTTACAGCAAAATGCATCTCAGCTGATCTAAAGAAAGAAATGTGTGGCTTGCAGCCTGCCAATCTCTCAAAATATAATAATAAAAACATGTGCCAGGGTGTCAGCAAAACAGTCCCTGCACTTGCTTGCCTGAGTATTGTCCACCTCCACTGGATTCAGCAAAGCCGGTCCCTCTATCTTAGTTGTGAACTTCTCATCGGATAGGACCTTAGAAAAGAGTTTCTCTCTCTTTCTGAAGTGATTTGCTGCAGTTCAGTACAAGTCTGACTTCAGTGATTATACAATCTCTTCATGTAAATGAAGCCAGACTGTTACATGGTTGTTAATGGATAAACAGGACAACAAAAGGAGTAATTTTGGTGCACTGAATTAAAGAAAAAACCCAGAGTTCTTTATCAGTGGCTGTTTGGGTCAAGTATTGTGAAGATGTTTAGAGTGAATCATGGGGGTGCTGGCTTCTTTCTCGCCCACCTCACCTTCTTATCATTCTACCTTCTTCCTGGGAGGCTTTAACTGGCTCCTCCCCTGACATGGTAGCTTCTTAGAGGAGCAGAAAATCACAGAACTTCTGGTGAAGAACACTGACAATTTTTGTCTCTTGCAGCATGATTCTGGAACAGAGTGCACTCCAGGAGAGTCCAAAAACCTGGGGCAAAAAGAAAATGGCAATTACATAATGTATGCACGGGCAACCTCTGGTGACAAACTGAACAACAATAAATTCTCTATCTGTAGTATTCGGAATATCAGCCAAGTGCTTGAAAAAAAGAGGAATAATTGTTTTGTTGGTATGTATTTCTTCTACACAATTTGGTTGTCTTTATTTTTCATGAGATGGCAACGAGAAGAGAAAATACAGGGAACATCACTGGGAGCAGCTTGAAATTCTGTAGCTTTTCATTTTCTAAAAGTGTGTTTTGCATCTGGTCTTCCCTGAGATGCAGATGTAGGCCGCTCAGTCCTCTCTCGAACCTTGGAAAGGACAGCCGAGCTTGTTAATCAGCGCTTAGGCAAGCTCAGAGTTTTAACGTTGCACACAGGATGAAACGTGGCTGTAGCTCTTGAACTGCAGCCAAGGCTGAGCCCACCGTTTCCTCCTCTCGTGTGAAGAATCTTGCAGAAAGGAATGTGCCAAAGGCCGGCAAGAACCATCTCTTGCCAGGCTGAGGAAGAGCCGATTCCTCCTTGCATGGCGGCTGCTTTATAGAAGGGGATGCAGGTCCTGAAAAGGAGGGATGGTCCTGTGTCCTGATTCAGTCCTCTCTCCCCGTTTCTCATGACCCCAGTTAGCCTTCAGAAGAACGTCTTGTTTTTCAGAATCCGGCCAACCCATCTGTGGAAACGGGCTGGTAGAGCAAGGCGAGCAGTGTGATTGTGGCTACAGTGACCAGTGCAAAGATGAGTGCTGCTACGATGCCAACCAGCCAGAGGACAAGAAGTGCAAGCTGAGACCCGGCAAGAGTTGCAGGTTCAGACGCTTTTCTGATCTGGAGAGCCGCTCCCTCCCTTGGTCTGGGCTTGTCTTTGGCCGAGAAGGAGCGAGAGCAGCCTTGGTTTACAAGAGCAGATTTTATTTCCCCATCAGGATTGGCAACCCTGCGTCCCAAACCCTGAGTCAAAGTTTACTGGCAGGCAGAGTAAGAAGAAGAGACCCAGCCTCTCACGCTCGGCTCCAGGGCTGTGAAATACATTTCCCTTCTATTAGCAAATCTGGCTTAATTACATGCCACCTTCATTACCTTTTGTTGCTGGTTGATTGAAATTATTTTATTGATTGCCGTCTTCAGAATTGGAAATTTGCCTTATTTAAATAATGACTGTGCTAGACATAATACCAAAGGCTTAAACTGATTTGGAGGAAGAAGCACTCCCCTATCCAAGCAGACTCCTCTTTTTAAGTCCCGCCCAAAGCACTGTTGCATTGTGGGCAAAGTAAGCTGCGCACAGATTCTCCTGAGGCTTTTTAGGGGAAAATCAGGCAGTGACCTACTGGATGACAGTGAGCAGATAGGATTGAGTCTATCACGAAGAATAAATGCAGATCTCCTTTGAAATGACGAGGCCTGCTGGAATGGCAATAAATTTTTCTCCCTTTTTAGCCCCAGTGAAGGCCCTTGTTGTACACAGAATTGTGAATTCAAGAAAGAGCGGGAAAAGTGCCGGAATGATTCTGAGTGTGCAGAAGAAGGGAGGTGTGATGGTAACTCTTCTTTCTGCCCCACATCTACACCAAAGAAAAACCTGACCGAGTGCAACAGAAACACTCAAGTTTGCATCAGTGGTGTAAGTCGTCCTAGAAGTGTTTTTATAGAGCCAGACAGTTTGACTCCAGCGTTTGTATTCCCGGCCCAGGCGGAGGGTGCCTCTTTCTGTTGACCTGTTGCAGCTGTCTTTCTTGGGCCAGCCAGTAAAAGCAGCCATTTTCTTTTCTTTTGGAGTTTGATAACCAAAATGTTTGTACTGACTGTTTTTAAAACAGATCCCCTATTTGTCTGTGCTCAGGCCAAGGGGTCCTTGCCGCAAACATTCTTTGGAGAAGAAGGAAACCTCCAATCATCTCCAACTTTGTGCTAACGTCCGTGGTGCTGGGTTGGAATCGTGTTCTGGGGAGCCAAACTGGGGAAGCAACCTCTTCCCCTTTTCCTGGCTCTGCTTTATGTAGCCAGACATAGTTCTTATTTATAGGAAAGAAAAGGGCAAACATGGTGAAGTTCAAAATTGGCCACCGCATTCATTTTACTATTTTGTTTGGTTTAATTCTGAGCTTGATAAGATGAAATAGCTCTAATATGTTTCCTCCCCAGCAATGTGCTGGCTCTATCTGTGAGAAATTCGACTTAGAAGAATGTACCTGTGCCAGCTCTGATGCAAAGGATGACAGAGAACTATGCCACGTCTGTTGCATGAAGAAAAGTAAGTTTTGTTACGCTAAGCAACTTAAATTTGGATTATAGCATTCTGTCTATTTTAATGTATGCAGGGATGTGGTAGAGCAAGTATTTCATTACCCTCATTGGTAAATGGGGGACGCTTCTCCTTTGTAAAAGTCCTGCCCTTTCTTTTCATGTCTAGCTGGAGCTGAGCAGCTGCTCCTGGAGTTGAAATAGTTTTCAGTTGCAGTCTCAAACCTGGAAAGTATAGAGGCATTATTAGCATTTCAGATAACCATTTCATCATTTGATTTAATTCCAGTTCCATCCTTTTTTTTAATTTCCCAAAAGATCATTTTTTGCTCAGCTTTAAAGAGATGTCTGCCTCAGAAGAGTGGTGCCCCAGCATGGCTGGGGAGAGGAGAGACTTGGCACATGAGGCATAATGTAACGATGCTAAGAAAAAGACTCAGGCATGTCTTGAGCAGAAGTTTGAAGCTGCATGACACATCTTCACACAGCTTGACAAACTCTGAGTTTATTGTTTCTTATATACTTTTTACATACATAGGCTTTACCATTAACTGCTGACATTTTACATTTAGAAGTTTAATCTTTAGCTGTTGACATAAAGTAATTGAAAAATTCCTTCATATAAGCAATTATTTTCTAGTAACACATTACCTGTTGAGAGCAGGTAAAAACAAATACAGATAAATTAGAAAAGGAGAAAGAACTGATAAAGACAAGAAGAGATAAGGGGGAACTTAAAGCATATTATTTATTTAGGTGGGTAAGATATTAAGTCAAAAGGGGGTGATCTTTTGGCTGCTTCCTTGGGACAAAGGGTATCAAAAGGTTATGAGGTTTGTGAGGGGCAATGCATGGCAGTTTGCTGCACATGCAAATTCCTCCACAGCATAATAAGGTTTGGGAGCATCTTATGTCTGCTGGGAATTATGGATAAATACTACCATCTGTCTGCATAGTTTTAATTTCTTTCTGGAGAGTTGCCCATGGCAATGTCTTGGCTTGTTTGTTCCATGCCAGTCATTTTTCTGCTTTGAACAGCAAAAGCCTGATATTCCTCTTCTGAAAACTATAGTGTTGAGATGTAAATTGTTTCTGTTTTATCCAGTGCATCCGGAAAGCTGTGCCAGTACAGGATCTGAAGCATGGAAGGCTCACTTCAGTTATAAAACCATTACCCTCCAGCCTGGGTCCCCCTGCAATGATTTCAAAGGCTACTGTGATGTATTCATGCGCTGTCGTTTGGTGGATGCAGATGGCCCCCTGGCCAGGCTGAAGAAGGCCATTTTCAACCCAGAACTCTATGAAAACATTGCCGAGTGGATTGTGGTGAGTTGAAAGGAACTCTCTGAACAAATTTTGGCAGTTCCTTTGCAAAAACAAGAAAGTGAAAACATTCAAAATTTTTATATTCTGAAGGTGAGATAACAAAATTTAAAATCTATATTCAGTGTTCAAAAGGTATTTGTAGAAAACTGGCAAGAATGGGTGCACTGCAAGGAGTGAAAAATGAAAATGCTCAGAGCCCCAATTCTGCTTTAAGAATTCAGAGAAGGGTCCCCTCTGAACACTGTTGGATGCACACAGACGTGCACACCAAGCACAATTTTCCCTCTCAGGGTAAGGAAAGTTCAGCAGAGCAAGTAAGTCACAGAAACTAAAATCTCAGACAAGGAAACCTAGTAAAAATTAGTTTACACCAGCACCATGCTGTGTCTCTGACAGGTTGCCATTTTTCCTTTTTGACATTCATTAAATAACTCCTGTTTTGCATTCCCTTGCTACTTTTTCTTTTGCATAGGAAACAACAATAGCATTCCTCCAGTTGTCAGGGCACAGACGGAATTTTTACATACATTAAGCAAATCACACAGGCCCTCCATAAGCATTCCCTGGGTTAATATTTCTCCAGTTACATCATCAACATCTGCGCCTTAGCACTTTCAACGTTCTCCGCATTTGTCACTTTCTCTTCACTACATTTTTTGTGAAGAGTCCCTTTACAGCAGCTGCTTCAATCTCTCTCTTCAAATGTCGCTGACTCCCATTGAGTCTCTAAAATACACTTCTCAGCAGTTCTTCAGTTTATCCCAAATCATTTCATCACTTGTGTTTTCGATTCCATTCATTCTTCTGGAGGTCACCTCTTCATTTGCTTCCGGAGCAATATTTTGTTTTCATCAAAATCGCTCTGCATTTAACTCCCCCTATGGTTGCGACTACCCTTTTCTCGATAAGAGTCATGCCAAGTGCAGCATTCCTGCTCATGATGAAGGTAAGGTTGGGCAATTTAGGCACAGCTGGCCAGTAAGTCTAGCATTGCAACCACAGTGTGCCTATGCGAGGTCACTATCTAAGCAAGAGGCTAAGTTGCAAGATTTTAATTAGTTATGTTTTAACTGTATAAGCCACCCAGAGTTACCACATGATAAGATGGGCAGCCAATAAATTTTATAAAAATAAATCAATAAATGTCCCGTCTGCAGGGGCTGGGCGTGGAGAGGCTGCCCCAAGGCAAAGCCTGCAGAAGCTGTTAAAGGAGCCTGAGGCGAAGGGTGGCCTGGCTTTCCGGCCCTGAAGGGTGGCATTTTTTCTTTGTGCCTGGAGCCTTCATAGAGCTCGGTCAGATGGGAAAAAAGACCTCTTTGTTCTGTCTCACAACTCCAGGCGCACTGGTGGGCCGTCCTGCTCATGGGCATTGCGCTCATCATGTTGATGGCAGGGTTCATTAAGATCTGCAGCGTTCACACCCCAAGCAGCAATCCGAAGCTGCCGCCACCCAAACCCCTTCCAGGTAAGACTTTTGCTAGCTCTGCAAGGACGTCTGCTGTGGGCATGGGGTGAAAGTGCACCCTGCGCAACTTGGGCCGTAAGGTGCATCGGCAGAGAGAGGAAAAGCCCACGGGAGGAGCCAGAGAGGCTCCGATTTGAATTGCATCAGGAACGTGGTGGTTCATTCCAGGGCTGGAGGAGGAACAGGCCTGATTGCCATAACCCTGTAAGACAGTGGTTCTCAGCCTGTGGGTCGGGACCCCATTTGGGGTCGAACGACCAAACAAGGCTGTCCGCCATTTTTTCCCCCTTTTCTTTGGCCACGCCCCTGGCACCCGGTGATGTATAAGTGGTTGGGGGTCACCACAACATGGGGAATTGTGTTATGGGGTCGCGGCATTAGAAAGGTTGAGAACCACTGCTGTAAGAGGGCTCAGCTCTGTCCTGCCTGTGAGGGTGGAACCAACGTGGGGAGTAGCGAGCCACCAGGCAAGCAGGGGTTTGGAAGGGCGACACCAAATAGAAGTGACAGGGGGCTCTTTCCCCAGGGCTGGAAATGTGTGCCTATGAAAGAATTTAGAGCATTGAGAATCGCTTCTGTTTCTGTGGCTGTTTTCCAGAAAATGGTCTTGCCAGAGCTTTGGCTTAGGGCTGCTGAGCTGCAGTCAGCAGGAGTGCAGGGGGCGGCTGGCTGGCAAAGCAGCTCTGAACATCTCTCTCCTTTTTTCTTCCCCTGCAGGCACTTTGAAGCGAAGGAGACCCCCCCCGACGACTCAGGCCCCTCCACGCCAGAGGCCCCGAGAGAGCTACCAGATGGGCCACATGAGACGCTAAGGGCTGCTTTTTGCCTTGGTTCTTCCTAGTGCCTACAGTGGGAAAATTTCACTCCAAAGAAAACCTGTATTAAGTCATTGTCCCTGGTCAATGGAGGAGGCTCTCAGACCCTGAGATCCCCTTTCCCTGCCCCAAAGCGAAGGGGCCGGCCGTGAAGCAGATCTTTAGCAGTCTTAAGCAAAGCGTTCCTCTCCTCCTCAGCTAGCTCTTCACGGTCACCTTTCCTTCACTTGCAGGTAAAGGTAGCTCTGATGGAACCTCTTCACAGGAATTAAAGCATCTCTTTCAGCTGCCGGGCTAGGAAGCGAGACTGCCTCAATGGGGGAGACGTTACTTTGCCAATGTACATAAGTGGTTATATGCAGACACTGTATTTCTAATGTACACCTGTACTTCTGTGTGCAATTGTAAAACAATATAATTGCAATATGGATGTTCCTTTATATTATAAACCTTTTATGCTCTTAATGAAGAAATTACTGTTTAATTGACATACTCAGGATAACAGAAGGTTGATGGTGTATAAAGGTCCAGGATTCTGTAATGCTTTACACAGGAATTGTGAATCACGTCAAGTCCGTGCAATTTTTATGCATCTCTATTTTGGTCAGAATTACTGCTGAGGCACGGTCCAGGTGCTGTGTTCAGGTCCTTTTCCTGCCCGGCTCCGCTGGGAGGATTCCAGGCTGCTCCAGGGAGGCTGCTGTGGGAAGAGCTTGTCCAGGGTTTGGCTCGCCTGCCCTGGATCGCACAGGGGGGCCCTGAATGGTTAGGTCAAATGCCTGACTTCTGGAGAGGGCCACAGAAGTATTCAAAAAGAAAAAAGAAACCTTTGCATATTCTGTTAAATGTGGAGTTGACATTAAAGGAGGGTTGACTCCCCCCCCATGATTTGGTAATCCGATCACCTTGATAAGTGATAATAAGGATCCCAATTCTGAAAATTTGGGAGAAAGTAAAGCTGTGTTTTGTTTTGTTTTTTATTTTAACAAGTATTTGAATAATCTTTCAGCATGAAACTGTTTAAAAAGATAACCACTAAAACAGAAGCCACTACTGCGGGAGGTTGCTGTGGTTGTGTAATTATTGTAGGCTGAGGAATGTGAAAGGCATTAATGAGGATCTCAAACAGCACAATGGCCCAAAGTTTTTACTGCAAGTGTATATAATTGGCATTTTTTTAAAGAAAGAAAAAGCAATGTCCCAATATGCTCAACTGCTATGCAGGAAATGGAAGAGGGCATTATTCAGGCTTGAATTCACTGCTTCTGTTTTTCCAAAAGCACCAAGCTGATTGGGAACCAAATGGCTGCAAAATATTTCTGGCTGTGCTTAGAAACCCAGTTGTGTTTTGGGGTGGGGGGTGCTAGCCAAGCTGTGGATTTTGTTTTGTTTTTTCAAGAGTATGAGATTTAGACATTTCAGTCTCATTTTGTGACTCACAAGCCAGCAAGGCAGAAAACTTTAAAATAATATAATGGGATCTCTTCCTTGTAAAACTTGTACAGTATGTGGTGGCTTTTTTCAGAATACAGGTTTTTTGTACATGGTTTAGAGACAAATTTTGTACATGAATCCCCCAGATTAATAGATTATAAATAATTCTGAAGGATCTTAACTAGCTAGAAGTCTCTATAGTTGCTTTTAAATCATTTTAAACTACATTTTGGGATTGTTTTTTCTTCAGACTGCAAAGACTGGAAGCTTAGGTTTGCATTTCTGAAATGGTGGGTTTTATTCTACAAGAGTTCTTAGTAACTTCTTGAATATGATAGATCTTGGACCATGTAACTTCTTTGCTTGTGATGTTATCCTGTGGCAAGAGAGCACGGCAGAGAGCGGCTGCCCTGTTTTTACTGGGCGCCGAAGTTTAATGTTTTCTGCAAAGAAAAAATGCACTGAACTCTCCACTGCAAGTCAAGATGTGGTAAAATAAAGCTATCAAGGCAAATTGCGATCTAATACTACTGTCAGTTTAATGTCCACTGTGTTTTATACAGTATCTTTTTTGTTCACTTTGGAAATTTTTACTAAAAAGTTGCAAAAAAATATAAAGTATTGTGCAAACAGATGTAAGGGTTTTTGAAACTTGAAATGCATTAATAAACAGATCTGATGAAATCACTTCAGAAGTTGCCTGCTTTCTCTGAGTCCGAAGGTGAGCAGAGCGAGACGCTCTACAGGCTGTGGCAAGAGTCCGCCTTGTGCTGCCATCGCCTCAGGATGGTGGGCTGGTAGCTGCCGCCTCTCCAGGGAGGACCCAGGACGGCCAGTTGTCCAGCTTATGCCCAGCTTGGAAAGGGCATTTTCCAGAAAGGGCATTTCCCTTCCACCCCGAGACTCTGGAGAGGAGGTCAGGGAAAAGTGGCACTCTGGATTCTGGGAGGCCTTGGGAAGGGAAGGAAGGTGGCTTCCCTGGCCCATCAGCCACAGCTCAGGAGTGCTGATGGAGCCCCTCCCCACTGTGTTTCCTGCTCCCTGCGAGGGATCCTTGTGACTCAATGAATGTTCTCCCTTTAGAACTGAAGGAAGGGGAGAGTCAGTTCTGTGTTCGCTCTGATGGTGCCATTTGGCTACGGGTGTCACTGGAGTGTGCCAAAGAAGGCAAAAGGGCAGCTACAACCACGCAAATGAGGCCCCAGCCATTTTTTGCAAGCATTGCCACACTCCACAGAATCACATCAGCATTTGAGGGGGCTTTTATGGGCTTCCCTCCCCCCTCTGGCATTCTTCTGGACCTCAGTGCAGAGTTAGGTGGAAGAGAGCTGTTGACGATCCAGGGCTTGGCAGGGCAGGTCCTATTGCTGGATTCTATTGAAATTAAGATGTTTTTAAAAAAAACCCAGTTAGAGCTTTTGCTTCATCTTTCTGAAAATACCAATTTGCATGACTACTTGTTCTTTGCACTCTAGCAACTAGATTGCTATTATTATCCTGGGATTCTAGACAGCAGTCAGAAGAGATGCAAATTGCAAAATATTTAAAATTAAATATCTTTGTGCCATATGACAGAGAAGTGGTATATGTAGATATGGAATGCAGCTACGCCGCCTTCCCACAAGCTTGTGGTATAATCCTTATCAGCCAGGTCAGCCTAAACTATCTGAATCCTTGCTAGCATTCAGCTCAACCTCTTCTAAAGCCTGTTTTTGAAAAGGTTTTTGTGCAGCAGGCCTGCACAACACACTTCCCTTTTCTTCATTTCCTATCCTTTGAGGTATTTGACCTGAGATTATAGTCTTCAGAACTTTAATCAGGTTTCAGCTCAAATGGACAATGGACCGTCCACTGAATGCTCTTCAAAATGAAGCTGATTTTCTCCCTGGTGTGACGCAATGACATTCTTGGGAAGGGTCACTCTCTTAGATTTAGTTTCACTTTATAATTCACTTTATTTGTTTACTCAAGCTAGTCGAGCGTAACAATTTACAGTACATCCTGATCCATCACATTTTTTAAGTTTCACATTGGTGTGTTTGTACAAAAAAAATGTTCCTTTTTTCTTTTCTTTTTCTAAGGAAAAGATAAAGCTGAGTCGCCTCCCTTCTGGACCAGCTTTCTCAAACATTTGCTTATCATCCAGACTCTCATTTCAGTCTTTGGGAACTGACTTCGCATCTCACAAACATTTTCTCGTGACCTGGATAGAGGTGCAAATTATCCACACGCTGAGAACAGAATGTCATTCTGAAAAGAAGGAAAATAGAAAAATAATTAATAAACCAAGTGTGAATTTCTTTTGTGCAAGGCCAGGTGCAGTATGAGAACTGTGAAATGAAAAGATAATGATGATTTTGAGCAATCTTTTCTACACTGCAACATCCGCTGGAGCCGGCTGCGGAAAGCAAGCCCCTGTTGCACACCGGTCACTTCTGGACCCCTTGTCTTCCTCCACCTCCTGGCCGGTCTGGACATACTTACTTCTGCTGAGTTTCTCCTGCCTTAACCCGAATGGACGTCACGATGAGTCCTGGCCGACGGTCCCCCTTTCTCCAAGGGATGATGGTTTGGACAGTGTCCCAAATGTTTTCCCAGATGGCCGTTCCTTCCCATTTCAGTTTGATCATCATCAGCTCTCCAATATCAATATCCAGAGGAACAAGAAAAGTGTAGGTTTTATTCTGAGTGATGCCTTCAATTCTAATGGAGAGAAGAAACACTGTAAGACATATTGCCCGGGGCTTCCCGGCACAGAGGGATCCTTTTGTTTGTGTTCTGCTCTTCCACCAAGTTGTCTTTGCCAGGTGCCACTTCAGCAGCAGCAGTGACAGATTTCCCAATCGAAAACACAACAGTATGTTTTTGTCTCATGAAAGGGGCACCTCGAGGAAATCCGCCTTGGTGAGAAACAGCTTTTGTGCCAAGGCCTATGACATCAGCCATGCTGGGCAATGTTTGGAACTCACAAAGTGATGGAGAGATTTTCCACGTCGTCTTTGTTGCCCGTCAGCGAGATGGTGAATGTTGGATCAATTCGTGGTTCTTGGAATTCGTGGATGAAATGGATTTTAAACTGATAGTGATAAACTGTGGAGAGGAGAAGAGAGCAAGCTGAGTTTTCACTTCCATAGAGACATTATGTAGCAGTTCACCCTTTATTTACCTCTGTCCTAAACTCTGCACTAAAGAAAGTTCAGACTTTCTGATCAATATCTACACCCTGAGCCTTTCTGCAGGCAGGGCACTTTCAGCTGAGCCCCCCCCCCCCCAACTCTGTTGGATGGAGCCTTGTTCTGGGCCAGCCCCGGCGTGACTGGTTGATCAGCACCAAGGGAAGACAATTCCATGCTCCTCGGGAGACATTTCATCCCAGCTGGCTTCCTGCTGACTTTCCTTCCGTTGCCCTGTTCTGAGGGTGGGTGATTCTAAGGGCTGCCCAGGTGTGTATGCTCACTGCCAACTGCTGGGCAAAACTCTCGGACATAAGAGAAACTCTTATGCGAAGACTGACCTGAAGGCCCACAACCTGGGCAGAAGTATGCCCTGGGAACGGGGAAGGGACATCGTGATGGTGTTTTTAAATTCTTGCTTCAGCTCCTCACATGGTTTTTGAAATGTTTTGAGAAAAGAATTACAGGACACTTGATGAAGCCTAAAACAATAGCCGCTTGTCCTGTCTTATTAGTTTTTGTGAAAGGCAACTCTTGTTCTGGACAGCTTAAGACATCTTTTCTTCTGTCCGCAGCACGGTCAGGCCTAGCAAGGGAGGCACGTGGGGCAGGCTGAGCCTCAGGAGAGTAAAGCGCTCCTCAAATCAGAGCCTGAGCTCTGGGCCTGTCCAAGTTGCCACCCTTGTGTGGCAACTGGCCGCTGCCCCGCTGGCAATCTGGGCATCCCTCTCGGTAGTTCGTGGTCATTTGTTCCAGGTAATCTTCCCAATGCATTTGAATAGCCAGGTATGCACATCTGCTTAGGAAGGGGTGCGCACATCGGGCCAACGCTTTCCCTATCTTTCTTGGGGTTTTTAAGAGCTGCAGATGGGTGCTTCTGGCATCCCCTGCTTTCATAAAAGAGGCCGTCTGGCCCCAAGGGCAGGATCTCACCCAGAGGGCTGGCCATATCATTTGGGATAAGACCACCCTGGGGGTCAGCCTGTTTTCCTCTCTGAACTGGTGCCATTTGGAATCTCTGCAGCCGCTGCAGTCTGAGGACGTCCCGCACAGAGTCTGCCCCATCCACAAGACCCCTTTGGGGAGCTGATCCCCTGTTGCCCGCTCCCCCACCAACCTTTGAATGGCATCTGAGGTTGGGTCTTCAGGAAGAGCCTCTGGCTGCTCAGGACCCTGGCCTTCCGAATGTGATAGCCCAGGGTGTTGCACCGGTTGGCCCGGCAGTCAAGGCAGCGTCCCTTGTCAAACATCTGCATGTTTTTGCACCAATAGCCGGTGATCTGCTTCTGGCTGTACCGCAGGGAGTCAATAAAGAGATGAACCGACCTCTCGTGGGCACATTTCACCGTCTGGGTCAGCCCTGCAGGGAAGCAGAAGGGTGGAATTGAGCAAGTCAGGGGCTTCTCCATCTTGCCAACTGTGGAATCGCCCACTCCTCTCCAGAGGGTGCTACCAGAGTCCCTCCACCGTCTCCGGTCTCCTCTGGAATCGTTCCATCAGACCTTGCAGGGGATGTCGGGTTTTGCCAAGCCTGGACCGGCATCCTGGGCAAACGGCAAACTCAACATTGCCAGAGCCCCAGGAACCGGGTCCTTTGGCATGCCAGGCAATACCCTGCCTGTGAACCAAGGGCCTCGTTCAAGGCTCTGCTTGGAGACCCCGGTTTGGCCATCTTGGTGCTGGAGATGATCTCTCCTTCTGACCTAAAGGCTGTCACCACATGGGAAGGTTAGAACCCAGCCCACAGCAGCCCCCTCGTTCCACTCTTGTAGGCTCCACCCATGGTGCTTCCTTCCAGAACTCCTGGCAAGGCAGAACAGGAGAAAGGCCAGGTCAGTGGGAGAGAGAAGTGGGAAAGCCTCCGGCTTGCCTTGCTCTGACCCAGTCAGTAGCCTGCTTTCAGCTGTGAGGTCTGCCTTGGGGCTTCTGAGGGACTCGGCCAGAAGGCTCCCCATCCCGGGTGCCTCCTTTTGTGGCTTCTTATACCTGTGATTCCGTACTGCACAATGTGGTTATAAACATGCATGATGTGGCAGCCAGGCTGAAAAGTTCCCCCGTTGGGGTAGAAGTCAAAGTGTGCCACAGGCTGCTTGATGCCCACGCTGAGGCCCATGTGTTGCCGGGTAAAGGTGTGGATGGCATCCACAAAGTTGGCATCGTCTGGCGATAGACGGTCCGTGGGGGACATGCCTTCAAAGAGGGGGCCAGCAGGGTCCAGGCCTGCAAGACAGACACAGCGAGGCTTGTGAGAAATGTGGCCCAGGAATGAGCCTCAGCTTTTGGCTGAAAACCTCATTTCAGTTTTGGAAAAGGAGGGCAGCCAGAGCCAACAGCTGTAAAGGAGGGGATGAGCAAACTAAAGAGAATTATTCCCATTAACTGTGGGAAGATACTGAATCATTGCTGAGTCAGCTGACCAGTGAACTGGTCAGTAGATCCTTAGTGGAGAAACTTTCCTTCCCATCCAGCTTCACGAACTTCCTCCAGATGTGGCTGTACTCAGAAGCCAAGGGG